GAGAACCTAACTTTCCGATAACCTAATTTCCGTTTTTACCTAAAAATTTCCGAAAACCTAAATCTTTCCGAAAACTTACAAACTGAAAACCTAAGGCCGAGTTACCTATTGACCGTAACTATGACGATAACCGAGGTGGTTGTTCTTTGTATGGAGTTTGACAGATTTTTGACGTTTGTTAAAACTAAAGCAGGATGGTGCAAGTCAATGTCCGAAAAACCTAACTTTCCGTTAACTTCTGGTTAGCCTAAAACCGTTCGAAAATTTAAATAAGTAAACTAAAATAATAAAACAATCTGATAATCTAGCCTACCAATGAAGGTCTGCTAACTTATACGAAGTCTGCTAAAAATTAGTACCTACTTTTTCCTCTTTACAATTTTTAAGCCTAGAGTGTAAGCTGTTTGTATACCTATTGCAAATAAATAAATAAGACAATCGTATGAGGCTATTTCTCATCGTCACGGTTCTCATCGTCACCTTCGTGGCGAATTTTATTTCTAACTTATTTCAACTTTTTGTAAACAAAAATTGTAGCGCTTGATGTGAAGATTGTATTCTCAGTAAATCAGTAAAATAGTGAGTCTCGTTTGGAAGATTTAACGTTTTGAATTTTTTGATGCCACGAAAGTGACTCTGTACTTCACAGCAATAATTTTTTCAAACTTTACTACTGTAAATGACTCTTATAAAACATATATTTTGTCTTATTTTCATAGATAAACATTCATAGAACACACAAACATTCATAGAAAAGCAATAACATAATATAAATAGGGACCTACTTAAATCTATATATATAAAAATGAAACCCGTTTCGCGTTGTCACGGCATCACGTGTGAACGGCTGAACCGATTTCGATAATTCTTTTTTTTAAATGTTTGTGGAAGTCCAAGGATGGTTCTTACGGAAAAAAATATTAAGAAAATCTCTACGCTAAGGCGGTACGAAGTTCGCCGGGTCAGCTAGTACAAGATAAAATTTTACCGATTAGGTCACCTACTAAGTTACAAGATTCTACGCAATTGGTTTTAAGGGTGACACTGGTGGCATTTTGAAATACTAAAGAAGCAAAAAACGGATTGTCAGTACCTAAATAAAAAGAACTCTAACTGATTTATCAGTCCCTCAGCAAAAAAATATTTTTTATTTAGGCCAGATGGCCTCGTATTTTTGTTGTACAACTTTTAACTCAAACTTCAGATTAAATTTATCTTACAAACAGATACACAGTCACATATACAGACATACATACAGTCATACAGACAGACAACAAAAATACGAGGCCCTTATTTATTTATTGATGTACTGATCTCTACTTTACCACGTATAATTTATTAGTTATTAAAATATTGTAAAAACATAAACACCAGTCACTATATTTTAAAATAAACCAAAGCAAGAAATCACTTTCGTAGCCTAAAATCACCTTCGTGTATAAAACACCATGAAGGTGATGCCACGAAGGTGACGAAAATTTTAGTTTTTTATGAATTATCCTTAAATTTGAATTTAACGGTTCAAGTCGAATACTACACAAATAAGTCTAACATGTTAAGTTTTCAATGGCAAAGTTTCAATTAAATTGTTTAAATTTTAGAGGTAGAAAATATTGTTCAAGCAAGCGACGGTATGTCTATGGACAATCACAAAAAGCTACGTATTTTTTTCGCGGAGCGACGATCGACCTATCTCACCTCCCCAATGGTCGAAGCGTGACTGACTTAAGAAGGATCGAATACAGTTTTCAGTGAGCTTGTATGTTTTGTTATTCAGGCGCTACACGATTTTTTCGGATTTTGAAGAAAGCTCGATTACTTGATATTTATAAATATTTTCATAAACATGTTTCTTTCACATATACGCACAAATCAAGAGCTACTCGTGTGTGTTTATTCTATAGGCGCACATATAACGGTTATTGAGATAGAGCATTCTGCAAAACGTTACCCTGGCAGGAAATGCAATATCTCGAAAACCTGAAGACGCACAAATCACATTTTCAGCTCACATAATAGAACAAATATAAGCTATCTGCTCGTACACAGTTTTTCTCTTTCCGATCATTCGTTTAGAATTTTCCTGCTAGAACAACGTTACTCCAGCAGGAATCGTTTTTTTCGTTTAGTACCAAAACGACAGCACGCACTAATCTCTAATTCGGCGCACATTTACACCATGTTGGGAACTAATTATACGTTCTACTCATATCACTCTAGGAGCTACTTTCCAGCTGGAGTAACGTACACGTGTGGAAAGTATATTTAATTACGATGATTTTAGTATATGCTACACACAAATTGAATGAAAATTGTGAATGCAGTAACCAAATGTTTCATTGCAACCGAAGGTGTGACACGATCCTTTTGTACCCTTAGCACCACCGGCCTGCACCACTGGTGGTGCAAAGGGTATTTTTTAATCCCTATTGCACCACCAATAGTGCCGCCCTACCATTAACTGTAAAACGATTATCTGATTCTATAATCATATAATATTAATATTATAAAGAGGAAAGATTTGATTGTTTGTTTGTACTAAATAGGCACCGAAACTACTGGACAGATTTGACAACATAACATAAAAATTAATAACAACCATTCATACCTACATACAACGAATAATTCCTAAAGTACCAGGGCAACATAATCATAAAGGAGCTATATTAAATTCTTCTTGGTTGACCCGAGAAATAAACATGTATCATAAAATAGCTCCTTTATGGTTATGTTGCCCTGTGGGTCTAGACAAAGTGCCATTATAATCGCAAACCAGTCGAAAAGTGGTCGAAAAGCCCCTTTTTTGTATGGAATTTGACGGATTCGATTTTCGATTCGATCAAAAAGTGCGTTTTGTCTAGGGGGGCTGGTACTTTATTCGTTGTATGTAGGATGTAGGCCCGGGGTATCGTGGGTCTGAAGTGAAATGTTTATAGGCACTTACACACACACAAATTAAAACTTTTAGGTAGGTTTTGATTTATTTATAACAATTAAATTATTAAGTATTTTATAGTCTAATACTAGTTTTACAGTCGATGGTAGCACAGCACTATTTGTTGGTGGTGCAAGAGGGATTTAAAAATACCCTTTGCACCACCAGTGGTGCAGGCCGGTGGTGCAAAGGGTACAAAAGGTGACACGATGAGAACGCGAAAAATGACCCCGTTTTTTATCGTTTCATGTGATTTTTTCGTATTATTTTTGCTTCTATTACGATAAAATTTATTTTGTATGTAGCTAAATAGATATTTTATCATCTGATTTCAAAGGTATTGTTCTAACTTATACCGTTTATGAACTATTATTGTGTGACCATCAAATTTGAGTGTAAATGAGAAGTACCCATGAAGAGAAAAAGGCTTTATTATTTCATAATAAAGTTATATACTTGAAGTTTTCATTTCATACATTTTGAAACATATAGGACAAGTCGAGTTTTCCTAATTCTTATTAATAAATCTTTATTTGAAATACTGCCAAGCTTTACTCCTCTATGCGTAAGGTAATAAGTAAATAATTGATACTTTCAAAATATGTTAAAAAGAGATGTCATTAAGTTACTGTAATGTGAAATCTTCGATCATTTTGCTGTTAAACTGTTATCAATCAATGCATCGATTGGCGATTTTTTAACATTCTTGTTAGACACCTAAATAATTAGGTGCAAATTTTAATTTGAATCGTTATGGTATTTCAGCCTTCGACGCACGGTTTGTATAAAATGCGTAAAAATACAAAATCAACGAGTATAAAATAATAAAAACAGGCGAAGAAAAACACTGCTTTCAATGAGCGGTAATTAGAGTTGCAAAGTAGGGTAACGGCTACGGGCAAAGGCTTAGCCTGATAAGGGCTGAAAGGTATGAGTATTTTAACTTTTTCTAATACTCAAAAGCGTTGATCCAAGACTATCTGGGGGCACGGCAGTGCCCCCGCCAAGTCGAGCGCGAAGCAAACACTGCCGTACCATCTTTACTGGAACCATTTCGCCGCATTTTCAGGCCTCTATTTGAGAACCTCTGGATAAGACCAGAACGCAGAAATTTTTGTCATCTAGTAAGCTATAATCACATACTTAAAATCCAAAATTTCAAGTCTGTAGGTCATTTAGTTCCGAAGTTAAGCGAAAGCAAAGTTTCGCATTTACGACACTCACTCACTCACTCACTGATGATCATCAAAATAGAACTAGTACTTCCCATTAACTCAGAGAGTTGAAATTTGGTACAGAGTTAGGGTTTAATGACTACATAAAGGGAAAACTATAAAAACTAGGAAAATCGAAGATCTGGAGTAACACCACATTCACAATCAATACTACTAGCGCCACACCGGCAACCGTGGTGTTCGCCTGTACCGCTCATCGCTAGATGGCGTGGCACTTGTTATTAAAACAATTTCTGATTCGTTGTCCATTTTAAAGGTCGTTGAGTTTATTTGTGTTTAATATCGTAGAAAAAAATTATGCCACTTTCTACAAAAAGAAGTGAAATCCCACCAAAAACATTCTGTAAAAAATTAGCCAAGTCTCGATGGAGCTGCCTGTTTATCTCTAAAAAGTAATGAAATCTAGACAAAGTCGTGCCAAGTCTATGGTTCCTTACTGCGATTTCTTTATTATTATATTTAATGTTGTGTGACTTGGCCGTTGAACAATCTTTATTAAGATAATCATACATTTAAGTATTATTGAAATACGCAGCTTTATTAAGCCTACAATTGACTGGTTATTGCATCAACGTTTTCCAAGTGCAATTTATTTTCCATCGTCAATGGGTAGCGGATTTGGCGACAGATTGGTGCAATGGTGTCATGGAGCATCTGGTTTGGTACCCTTCAACGGCCAAGTCACACAACATTAAATATAATAATAAAGAAATCGCAGTAAGGAACCATAGACTTGGCACGACTTTGTCTAGATTTCATTACTTTTTAGAGATAAACAGGCAGCTCCATCGAGACTTGGCTAATTTTTTACAGAATGTTTTTGGTGGGATTATATTATTAAAGAAAAAGAAAACGTATACAAAAAGCTATAAAAATAAAATACCGTTAGAGTAAGTCAGTACGCACATCATGAGACGATGATCTAACACTTAATCATGAAACTGTAATCTTAATTACTATGAAATACTATGACTCGAGCGACAAGTCTTCGTTGAGGCGAGCTTGGCAGTGCCACCAAAAATGCGATTAGAAATAAATAATCAAAAACTCGGGTAAGCTTTACACACTGGCGCTGATTAAAAATAACGACTAATTCACCGGAAACTTTGAAAGCGACTTGTCCACGTGTTTCGTACATCTAAAGTGAATAAAATAGAAGAAACCATCGTGTTGTGTGCGGGCTAAGAGTTCTGTACAACATTCCAGTCAGTCGAGTTGTCAGCGGCTGTTGGCGTGGGGTTGCTAGTACACCTTGAGTTGGTTCTTGTCGTCGAAGCCGGCCGAGTGGCCGGCGTTGCGGACGATGAAGGAGTTGCCGTCAAAGTGCATCCGCCTCTCGCCGCGGCTGTTCGACAGAATAAACACTAATCACTACATAATATTTTAAAAGCTCTCCACCGCGTCAGTCTGTCCGTTCACGATAAACTCCTGAACAGATGTTCATGCAATTTTCACTAATAGGAGTATTAACCTTTGGCGTGCTATTGAGCCGCGCAAAACTGCACCCGCCAACTGCTACGGTTTTCAAATGATGTTTCAAAATGACAAAGTAGTCTTGTCTTAGATCTGAGACATAGCAGTTGACAGAGGTTGCACAGATCTGAGACAAAGCATAGGAGAGGTTAATGAGAAAGATGTAGGTAGTAGAGAAAGGCTATTTTATTATTCCACCAATAAGGTAAACTTGCTCTTTGATTCCCGCAAATAGATCGAGATCAATCAAATGCGGATTGAAGCGAGAGTTTTCTTCAGCAATCCAAAGAAAACGCGAAACGTGGAAATAAAATAATAGTGACTTATAACAACTTCCAGCCAAATAAAACCTTGACAGGAAAATATTAATAGCTATTCTCAAAAGCATAAACAATTACTTCGTGCGGACTGTAAGCTAATCAACAAAAGTTTCCAAGTATCGACAAATCTTATTGGAGATTGGCTACGCCATAAAGTGGACTTATATTTTGGGAAAAAGCCAGAAGGCTTTTGAGGTTTCTCGAATGATTTTGAGCGTTTACGGAAATGAGATTTATTTTATTAAGTAATGTTAAAGAAAAATGGGGTCATAGGATTCTGTTGTCACTGAAGGGAACTGAATTAAGAGAAATGATAGTGACCGACTGACGAGGTCATGTAGGAAAGAAAGACGAGAGTCTGAAAAATACGATGAAAATCAATTGGACTAAATAACTACTGAAACGCGCAGGACCGTTCATTGTGGAAACCTTGGGGGAGGCCTTTGTCCAGCTGTGGACGTCATTTGGCTGAAACGAACGAACGAACTACTGAAACAGTTGGATAAAGTGCACGAAAGTAGCTGGTCTTAAAATCAGAGAAAAAGTTAGTATTATCGTACATTATCATTCTGTGGTATTATGTTAAACTATGCTATTGAGCAATTGAAACGGTGCCACGATCTCCAGCAGGGCACTAAGGAAGGAATGAGTGCTGACCTATTTTAGTCTGAATATTGCAAGTTGAAAGTTAATTACAATTTGAAGCAATTTGCCGCGAAAAGTTTCTTCCGCACGCAATCATGCTAATGCACTAGCATGCCCAGAACTTCCCGTGTCTGTTGCGGTGCAATGCAATTATTCTAATGAAAGGAAGCTCAGCTTCTAAACCAGCCTGTGCTCGTAGCACCGTTTAGGTTGAATTTAGTGCATAGGTAAGTAGACATCGCGTACTAGAATTTTTAGGTTCTACTTAACTATTCGCAATAGAGTTATAAGATAGGCAATAAGATAGAGATTATCAATTGTAAAATTCCTTCATCTAAACTATCGAACGATGTCATAGGATCATCACATAATTATTATTATGAATGAATACGGACTAGGTATAAACTGCAATTAAAAACATAATGGACTTATTGCTAGAGTAATGCCCGTTTTCACCATCAATCCCTAATTTTACAACAGGAATTTTGTTTTCATACGGGTCCCTTAAAAATTTGGGATTGATGGTGAATACGCATAAGTGGCATAAGAGTCCCCGCAGACTACAGACTTATGAATATCAGCATGAAAGTTCGCACATTACACGGATTTGGTATCGGTCGATTCTTCATTTAAATTAGAAGTCGACCATACTATCGGCCGATAATGTCTGTAGTTTGTGGCGACTAGTGCAACACTCACCGCACAAAAAGGTGCTGTGTCTGGCCAAGCGAGGCGGTGCAGTGCAGGAATGGGCTGGTGATGGACGCCGACCCGTTGCTGGGGCTCGTGCGCAACTGGTACTTGTGGCTGCAGCGATGGATCCTGCGAGTGACGTAATAAAAACACATGAACGAGACTTGAGTATATTTAATTCTTTATCATGAGAGTTGAACGCTAAAATTGGGGATTCAGTGTCGCTTAGACAGGAGCCATTTTCTTTATGATGCGCTATTGGACACAAACTAAAGACCGATATTGGTGTACTGGATCCAAGGCGATTCATTCAGGATAGGCCTTTTCTTTAACTAAAAGAATCCTACCTTACGCTTTTATGGTATCTTTATTAGAAGGATTAGCTACTAGCTAGGCTTTGTGCACAAGCATTAGACGGCTAATCTCATGACATATCGTCAATGGCCTTTAATTCTTTATTACGTAAAAGATTTGTGAGTGAAAATACGTAATTTAGTGAATAAAAAACAAATTACATTTACCTATTAGTGAAAAGATAATTAAGTTCTCAGTTAGGTACCTAGGTACATTGTAAACTTTCAGATTTAATCGAAACGCCTTCCCAAAGATCGTGAGATTAAGAATCCTTCATTCTAATTTGATGAAAGTAAACTTGACTGTTTGACAAAGTTATTCTGCAGCAGAGACATCAGACAGCGCTTCTTTGAAGATTGGTTTCTTCTATTGTTTTTGTTGAAAAAGACAGTCTTGGAACACTTGACTGTCATCTAGCCTCAGTGTCTCACCTGACAAGTCCGTCAGCAGTCTGGCTGACGCGTTCGTTGTCGATGATCCCAGTTAACAATGCCGTCGTCGGTGAGCCAGTACTGCGCGGCCTGCAGCAGCGACAGCGCTTCATTGAAGCCACTGATGTTCTTGCTAAACAGAGCACTGTAATAGCCTTAGTGTCTCACCTGACAAATCCGTCGGCAGTCTGGCTGATGAGCACGTTATTGATGATCCAGCTTTTAATACCGTCGCTCCAAACTCAGCAATGCGCAGCCCGTAGAGAAGTGAAGACGCTTTAAGAGTCTCACCTGACAAGTCCGTCAGCAGTCTGGCTGACGCGCACGTTGTTGATGATTCAGTTATCGATGCCGTCGTCGGTGAGCCAGTACTGCGCGGCCTGCAGCAGCGACAGCGCTTCATTGAAGCCACTGATGTTCTTGCTAAAAGAGCACTGTAATAGCCTTAGTGTCTCGAGTCCGTCGGCAGTCTGGCTGACGAGCACGTTGTTGATGATCCAGTTATCGATGCAATCATGCGCGGCCTGCAGCTTAACCGTGCTTCATTGAAGAAGCACTGATGTTTTTGCTTACACTGATGTACCGTCGCTGCAAACTCAGCACTGCGCAGCCCGTAGAGAAGTGAAGACCTAGAGCGCTTTAAGAGTCTTACCTGACAAGTCCGTCAGCAGTCTGGCTGACGCGCACGTTGTTGATGATCCAGTTATCGATGCCGTCGTCGGTGAGCCAGTACTGCGCGGCCTGCAGCAGCGACAGCGCTTCATTGACGAACGACGGGCCGTGGCGCGACTCGTTGTAGAACACGTTGAGGGTGAAGTCCTGGCTCATGTCGAGGAAGGTGTCGGTGGTGGTGCGCGTGCCCGCCGCGTCCACGAGGTACACCAGTGCGCACTGTTCGGCCGTGAACGACACGCCCTTGTACCACATCTTTGCGTACCTGCAAATGGAAAGGCAGCTTGCGGAATTTATCACGGGAATAGTCACCTATGTAACGTGACTAGGATCTATATCCTGCAAAAATAAGAGCACACACATATTTCGGCTAATTAGTAATATTTGAGTGCCTTAAAGTAAATATCTTAGTAGTTCATCTTAGCGATAGTTAATAGCAAACAAACAAGCAAGTAACTATGCGATGCCATGCTAATGGGCGCTTTGTAAAGTCGTTGCTAATGGACCAAGCGACTCTACATACATTATGAAGAGATTCTTCCAACCAATTTACATAAGAATTATAATTAAAGACTAATTGTGTGCTTGTGTGCATCAGACATGGGTTGAATCCGAGCCACGAATATCGTGTTTTCTTCGCTCTATTGCGACGATCACTAACTTGTTATTCCCCTGCTGGTGGCGAGCCTGGATCTCAACGCGGGAGCCGTAGTGGTAGACGCGGCCGTTGGGGTGGATGAGCGCGGCTGCGGCACCCGACCGGGACAGCGCCAGAATGATGTTGTTCTTGGCGTTGGTGACGCGCACCGCGCCGTCGATCGTCATGTCCACCCTACGAAATGCAATGCGGTCTAGACTCTAGCTAAACAAACAAACCCACAGCTAACAACGCCCGTATTCACAAACGATGCTTGCTTAAGTGAAGCAGCAAATCGAACGCACAGTGTTAAATAGAGCTCTGTGATTAGTTCGTGTGTCACCTTATGCGTCCACGCGCACTAGGAGACCTCATAGTAATGTTTGTGAATACGGGCGTAACTAACTGACTTTTGCAATTTCAGAAGTCAAGACAGTACAAGTCATCGACATAATTCTTTTGAAATACCGTCAGGTTGACAGCGGGCTTGGTGTGTCCTTAAATTGGAAAATTTAACTAACTACGATTAGTAATCATCATGCTAACTACTTATGTAAACTATGTATTTTTTATCATACATAACTTGTTTAATGGTAGTGCTAAATGTAAGGATATTGTCGTTTAGGTAGAGCACCGCCGACTTAAGCCATTGCAGCTTTCGTGAGAGAACAATCTACAATGGCGTGATACATCACTGGGATAGCCAAAATAGCTGAGTGATGGCGTCATACTTAATCACTCAGGCCGAGTTGCATCATCTAGCTTTAACCGTAACCGTAACTGTAACCGATGTTTTTTGTGTGAAGTTTGACACATTTTTGACGTTTGTTAAAGTTAAAGAAGATGGTGCAACCCAGCCCTAGATAGCCAAAAGAGAAAGCGTTAGTTTCTTCTTGAAGCACTGAGGTATCAATTAAGTGCACTCACTTCACCCTATCACGGAGTCGGAGGCAAACAGTACCATGCGGGGTTACGGAGGCGTTGTATCCCGCGCCTCCCACCACGTCCGTGACCTACAAAATTAACAGTTAACAAGTGACGTTTAAAATCAAACAGGGAAATAAATCACAACAGTCCCATTTTAGGGGTTAACTGATGAAATTGCTGTATACATAGATTAGTCTTGTATAATTCAAAGCAAGAAGCAGTGATGATAAATAATAACTACTGTAAAAACCATATTAAGTAATTAGAAAATAGAGAGAAATTGTAGATATTTCTTCGAATATGATGAATTTATCGCGACTCTACCTAAATAAAAATCGCTATATGCCGTATGTACGGGCATAAATCTCAGGTGGAAATACCCACAGCCTCTCCACTCAGCTTTTCAGCATCGTCGCTCCACTTATCTTCGTGGCACATCTCAAGAGACCGGTTCGAGACCGCCTTCTCCTTCGAGGAACTTGCTTGTCTTGGACAAGTTAGATTCCTACAATGGCACCTGTCTTAAACCTGGTCCAAAAATACCTCAAGCTTCCTCCAGGTGTCGGCATGGTAGATATCGTCTCCGGGGTAGAAAGGTGCCTTGCGCTGCAGCGGAGCCCTCCACGGGGGCTGCCAGATGGCCGCGCCCATGAGTTCTGCCTGCCTGAGGCCGCCTTCGAGGAACTTATGCTGTAGTCTTGGACCGCGGAAAAGTTACACTCCTACAACGGCTGTCTTAAAGCTGGTCCAAAAGTACCTCAAGCTCCCTCCAGGTGTCGGCATGGTAGATATCGTCTCCGGGGTAGAAAGGTGCCTTGCGCTGCAGTGGAGCCCGCCACGGGGGCTGCCAGCCGGCCGCGCCCACGAGTTCTGCCTGCCTGAGGCCGCCTTCGAGGAACTTGCTGTAGTCTTGGACCGCGGATAAGTTACACTCCTACAATGGCTGTCTTAAACCTGGTCCAAAAGTACCTCAAGCTCCCTCCAGGTGTCGGCATGGTAGATATCGTCTCCGGGGTAGAAAGGTGCCTTGCGCTGCAGCGGAGCCCGCCACGGGGGCTGCCAGCCGGCCGCGCCCACGAGTTCTGCCTGCCCGAGGCCGCCTTCGAGGAACTTGCTATAGTCTTGGAACGCGGACAAGTTAGACTCCTCCTGCAAAAGTTCAAATCTTTAGCCCATGGATTCGGGACCATTGTGAGACCAATGCCTGAAGACAGTGTAAGTAAAGGGAAAGATTTCGATACGTACGTTGTAAGACTACAACCACAAGATGTAGGTACATAACTATGTGTAGGTGGTAGTTATGTACCTACATCTTGAGTTTTTTTTATAAGGCTATGGTTTTGCTAGTTAGCTAAAGGACATAGCGAATTACGATTACGAAATCAAACCACTCATTATCTAGAGGCAGATTCCTATGATGCCATGCTATTTTCATCCGATTTGCATACCTACTAATAATGAAGTGATATTTCACAATCATATTAGGTAACTACAAATGAGAATGTAGTTACAAATGATACAATCAATAAATTAAATACGTATTAATTAGGTAATGTTTTAAGATTCTTAAACAATGTAACGAGCATAACCCACTAACGACATAGTTCTTGCATCAATATAATTACCAATTAAGCAAAATTATCCAAATTGCAAGAATAAACAATTCTCATAAGTTTATAAACATCGCTCTTTTACTAGTGAGCTAGCTCAGAATATTTCGAAATAAAAATGTTGCTCAGAGGGCGTTTACATACTTAAATGGGGGAAGTTAATTTTTAACAAATCGAACATGGATGACGTCATTTGACAGTAGGTATGTCAGACAAGGGGTTTGCGCTGCGAATGCACACGAGGCCACCGATCAAACAATGAGATATTGCAGAGTCTACGCTACAGCATCAGATGCAATATGCTGTTACAGAATCGCAGTAATTTACAATTTACAAGTACCTACCTATCTGTCTACTTAAAAAAGGTGCTATTGCTAGACCTTAAACTTACACTTCCGTCAAGAATAATATTAAATAGAACATTAAGCATACCACAAAGTGGGCTATAACTGGGCCATTCTTAAATTTGTGCCAATTTTTTTTTAAAAATTAAAGATTTTTTTTTTAAACTTTTTGCGATGTGTATCGAAAGTATTAACCAAAAGCATACTTTTGATGTATATGGACAACCTTAAAGCCCTTGGAAAGGAAACAAAATAGCCTACGTAAACACGGCTGTGACACTGCATGACACGGATGTGACAGTTTTACATTTTTACTGTAAATAATAATATTTATGTTGTTAAATTTATATCATAATAGTTTAAATTGATTAACAATAAAATACACTAAATTCGTTTCATCAACAAAAGTGTTATTTGGTAATATGTACTTTTTTCTGAACATCCAAAAATTTAATTAAAATTGAGATCAAAAATACCGTCAGGTAGTTAATATATCTACTAGATAATAAAAAAATAGACTTTTTATTATTGGCACTATCTGATCATGCTTCCGATATGCTACCTACATGGTTTCGATATGATAATATGCTTAACAAATTAGTAAATCTTAAACACAGTAGGTACCTAATTGAGTATCAAATGAGATTTCTGTAGGATTCACATAACAGTTGGTTTTGACAACTTAAACATGTTTCATAGTCACCGTACCACTAAAAATATGGTTAATAGCAATTCCTTTTAAAACAACTCCGACCACCTCTGTAGGGCCTTTACCGGGAGCTGTCTCAGTAAAATTTGATATTACTGCAGAAATGAGAAAGTGCAATAATTTTTCCTTCGTGGCATCTAGAAAATCATACTAGCGAAAAATAAGTACACTTACTAAAAGGCTACTCCTAAAAATTGCACAATACACAAAATAATTTAGCAGAACAACAAAAACTATTAAAATAATAAAAATAGAATGTCACAACCACGCGTTGTAATGTCACGACCATGTACTTAAATAGTTTGCGGTGGTGACACATTTTTAATACCATGGCCGTGACAATTTGGAACGTGTCCGATATATCCAAAAAACTATCTGTGAATTAGCAGATCTTGTGCAATTATCTGAAACTATACTGCATGAGGTACATAATTATGTTTTATACAATAGCGTGACATTGATACCTACCTTTAAAAACCGTACACGGGATGGACGTGCGTAAGAATAAGAATTGACCAACTACCTACTCCACACGTCGTCATCTTTAGCCTACTCTCCTTAGATTTAGTGGACCTAGTGCCTAATTATAAAGGATAGTATGATTACTTTATGGAATGATAACCTGATTGTAAGAATGTGCGGTATAAACGCTCCTCGGGCGAACAGGCATGGTCACATCCTTTCTAAAATCTGCGTTAGCCATTTTAACACTTCTTCAACTTAAAACTGTTAAGGTTAATTCACTATTTTTAAAAATACATGAACAACAGTGACTACATAATATAAATCATACTTCACGGTCGGAAGGTAAGGGAAAAGTCAATTGTCATTTATTTTATTCGATATTTAAATTTTATTTTACTTCTCTGCGGTGACAAATCAATGAGGCTGATTTATTTTAATTGAAACTCTACGAAGGATGGAAATAAAACTAAATTATTGAGGTTTAATTTTATCGTTATATCTCTGTTATTTGTATGCCTACATTTTCTACTTACTCGTAATTAAATCGAATCAAAAATTGAGGAGATCCGCAAGAAATCCAAAGTAACCGGCGGAGCCCGCATTTTTACCAATCTTAAGGCAGTGGCTCGTAGTTCAGAACTGATGGAAGAAGAGAAAAATTCACGATTGCCGACCACAAGCCGAAAGACGTAGTGCAGGCCTCCCACTTGATGGACCGACGATCTGATGAAGGTCGCGAGATATGAAATATCTGGATACGGGCAGCGCAGGACCAGTCATTGTGGAAAAAACTTGTTAGATCTGCCAGTAAGTACTGACCCAGTAAGTATTGCCACCTCTCCACTCTATCTTTTTAGGGTTTTTCTTTAACGTTGGGAATCACCTATTGGTCGATGGGGAGTGGAGACGGCCAGTGTAGGTACGGCCACATGGAACCTCTCACTCTTCGTCTACCGCTACCACACCCTTGCCTTGCCCGGGGGGTCCTGGCCCTACCCCTGGCCAGGGGGTTAACTCCACCATATCGAATAACAAATGATCGAACGTTCCAAATATCGAATGATTATGTAAAATATCGAAAGTCGATCTTATGTTGCATAGTCTGTTTATTAGGAAGATGGAGTGCGCATGGAGATTAGTGAGGTAAGGAATACTTACGCTTCAAGTACTTAACTTAAACTATTCTGCCCGCATCGACATCTTACCTTGTCGGTCGCAGTTTTTATTAATTATACCGAGTGCGAGTACTTACCCGAAGTACGAACAAACACGTTCTCGTTGTACCTTTTCGTGATACTTATTTAATTTTGATAATCGTTTTTATTACGATTACGATTAAAGTGATTCGTGCTTAGGGCACTGAATTCGTTCTTGGACGAATTAACCACACAATCCGACTAATATTATTGTACGTTATTTTTATATACCCGATGTACGTAATTATATTAATATACGTTATATTCAGGTATATTATTGTTAAGTCCACAAAACGTACGTCAGAAGGTTGGAACAGTAAAACATGTGATTTCTTTAAAGGTGTATTTGCGACTAAAATAAAACTGGCGGGCTCAGCCGCCGACACATACAAGGAACAGTATAACTATTGTTTCCTATTGTTAATTGTATTGGGCAATGATGTGGGAACGCAGGACGCTACTCAATACGTCAATACTCTCTGTTCATTCATGAAGTTAATTTATTACTCTGATTAATGTGTACCTACATCATCCCCCTCCTTATACAAAAAATAAAACACAATGACACTTGATTGAGTAAATAACAAAATAATGAATATTTGAAACAACATTATAAATCAAAATTCTATGTCAATTAAAAAATATCTAAAGACAATACGCTCAATCAAATTGTACACTTGGTCCATTGTGAAATTACAAGCAATGCACAAGTTTAAGTAAACAGTAAAAACATAAGAAAGTTGTATGTGCCTATCATTATATAATATAAAAATGTCAATTACAAATTACTAAACATCAATAAACATCTCAGAAACAAAATAACAAAAATGTTTTGCCAAACAAAATACAATAAATCAATTTGAATAAAGAGTAAAGTAAAAAATCATGAAACCATGTATAAAGTAAGTACATAAAAATACAATATTAAATTAATAAACTAATAGCTAATTAATAATACGCATAATAGTTTACATGTTTCGTAAAAACATTAGAACATTGTATTTATAAAAACTTATCCTAAGTAAGTAACGATGAGCCGCCTTGCAGTCGGTTAATCATTTCCGATAATTCGTGAATGCTTCCCGGCGTGGAGGTTTTCATTTCGGCTATTTCTGTATATTCTGGCCTGGTTGCCTCCATAACCTTGTCCGCCACCGTTGCCAAGCTCTCCAAGTCCTTGACCTCGGTGACAGCAAGAACAGCCTGAACTGCTGACGGCAAGTGTCTGGTCCACATTATTTGTAGCGTGGAGTCTGGTAGTTTGTTTCTAGCCAAGTCTCTCATCCGACGGAGAAGTTGCGATGGCTTTTGGGTGCCCAGTTCCATTTCCCCCAAAAGCTTTTGAAATTGCCGCGTCTCAGACTCTTCAAACACTTGTAACAGACGGTCCTTCAATGTCTGATATCGTCTTTCTTGTGGTGGTGACAGCAGCAGGTCGCTGACTTGTTGTATGGCAGATTTGCTGAGTTTGGTAACGACTAAGTTTTGTTTTGTTACATCTCCTAGTCGTTGCGATTCTACTACGGCCTCAAATTGGACAAACCAGAGTCGCGGTTGGTCTGACCAAAAATCAGGTATCCTTGACGAAACACTTATACTCGCCAAAGTCTCCGTCTCCGTCGACGCCTGTGCGGGCGGTGCCGCTAAAGAAGGCGCCGGCGTATTAGGCGCGGCGTAAATAGGTGCGGGTCCGTCTTGAGGATTCATATCCACAATGCACTGTCCAAAACGTAAAAAAAAAATGTTCAACAGGCGTCACCAATGTACGTATTTATACACTGTATACCTAATGATCACGTCGGGCGTATTGATACACTGTATACGTAATGATCACGTCGGGGTATTCATACACTGTATACCTAATGATCACGTCGGGGTATTCATACACTGTATACCTAATGATCACGTCGGGGTCACCAATGTACGTTAATTTTATATACCCGATGTACGTAATTATATTAATATTAGTGACCGACCGAATATTCGTTTTCGTTTTCGTTTTCGGCCATTTTCGGCCAAAAAATGGACATTCGGCCATATTTTCGTTTTCGGCCAAAAACCAGCCGAAGCTTCGGCCAAACCGAATATCAGAAATACTTGAATAAGATGGTGACGTTTATCGTTCCGATATCTTCGGGAGTGAATCTGGTGCACTCATGGTTCCAATCAGACTTGAACGGACGTATTATTGTCACACTCTTTTGAAGTTGTGAAGTGAGGTTACGTTGTAAAGGGTGTCCAGCGAGAATTTTCCAAGTTCAAAATTGAATACAAATAAAACCAAAGAGTTTTCATTAAGTTTAATTGTTTCAAAATAGAGTCTAATGCGGATTTGAAATACGCCATGAGTCACTGGTCGGGCGGGAGCCTACAGAGCGTTCGCAGTTGAGCAATAAGTATTTGAAATGTATTGAATGATCGATGAATGTCTGATACCACAACTGCAACTGCATCCCGGTCAACTACGTAACTCTATTTCAGCAAGAAGGTGTCTCACCACACACGGAGATTACCTCGATGGAGACACTGAGGACTATTTTTTTCAAATAAATGATCAGCAAGTACAGGGGTACATACCCTAGCCGCCTCGGTCACCAGATCTCACACCATGCATGCGACTTTTTCTTGTGGGGATATCTCAAGTCAATAGTTTACAGCAAACAATCCTTAAATAATTCAGGTTCTGTAAGAAAATATCCGCCGTGGAGTTGCAGGAAAATTATTAGCGCGATTGGCTCTCGCATAGTTGTGAATGTAAGGGTCCGGCTGTGAGAGTGCCTATAGTAAAACGTGAATCATCTAAGACATTGCCTATAAAAAATTAAATTCGCATTGTTAAAGTCCAGTTTGCATTTGTAATAAATAATAAAAAAAAAACAATAATTTATTTGTATTCATTTTTGAAGTTGAAAAATTCCCACTGGACACCCTTTATTTCTTCTTCACTTCCCAATATTTCAATATACACCGGATATAATATTCTACTAAGAATTCATGATTAATTTTTTTGTGTTTTAATGTCCGTTTTCTTTAATCAATCCTTATCAAAATCAACTGTCAAACGTCATTATGTTTTTGGTCAAAACAATAACGGTTTTTAAAGTTTTTACATAATTTCAGATTAAAATTTGAGAGTTGAAGGTCATTTCGAAAATGAGACTGCAGCCGAAGCTTCGTTTTCGTTTCCGTTTTCGGCTGAAAATCCATATTCGGTCGGACACTAATTAATATACGTTATGTTCAGGTATATTATTGTTGTTGTCCACTTATAAGTAATGTCCACTTTATAAGTTAAATCCACAAAACGTACGTCAGAAGGTTGGAACAGTAAAACATGTGATTTCTTTAAAGGTGTATTTGCGACTAAAATAAAACTGGCGGGCTCAGCCGCCGACACATACAAGGAACAGTATAACTATTGTTTCCTATTGTTAATTGTATTGGGCAATGATGTGGGAACGCAGGACGCTACTCAATACTCTCTGTTCATTCATGAAGTTAATTTATTACTCTGATTAATGTGTACCTACAATTATAATCCTACTAATATCTATATATATAAAAATGAAACCCGTTTCGCGTTGTCACGGCATCACGTGTGAACGGCTGAACCGATTTCGATAATTCTTTTTTTTAAATGTTTGTGGAAGTCCAAGGATGGTTCTTACGGAAAAAAATATTAAGAAAATCTCTACGCTAAGGCGGTACGAAGTTCGCCGGGTCAGCTAGTTATATATAAATGCGAAATTCAATCCAGATTATGGATGTCTGGATGTTTGTTACTTTTTCACGCAAAAACTACTGAATGGATTTTGATGAAACTTTACAGTATTATTGTTTATAACCCAGATTAACATAATAGGCTATAATTTATGCCGATCTGTGACACTAAATTTCACGCGGGTGAAGCCGCGGGCAAAAGCTAGTCTAATCATAATTAAAGTCACCTATTTCTACATTCATTACAATCTAATAGATAAGTATGTCACATCATGCCCGGGCACATAAAGTCAAAAGGTCAATCCCTGACTCTTAAGGCTTACTTAGAGGCAGTTGGTTTATTAATGTAGGTAACTGTTCCTACACCTAATAGGTCGAACCTAATATTATTTAGATGATGATAAGGTATTCATAGATTTTTACTTATGTAAGTACCATTAGTACTATCCATTCAATGGTACACAAGCAAGAGTGAAAAAAGCAACAACCGGCTTTTTTTTTGGTCTTGCCATAGTGCGTGGCGAGCCGTGCCAGATTGACGTCATCATCACCGTCAGCTAGCGCCAGCGCCACGCCGCGTCGTCGGTCCGCAACAATCTGAATTGGTCCGAAACTGACACAAATAAGTAGCTACCTTATTTAATAAAAAAAACTCAGTAGGTAAATCAAAAAATGGCTAAATCTACAGATTGTAGGTTACATAGGTTGATAACTATCCCTGAATACCTCGTCCTTTTTTTCTGCTTTTTTAGTCCTCGACTAATTTTTCAATCGTTGGATATCTTTTCACTGAAGAATAAAATAGTGATTTTGCCAAATACCAAACTTATTCTTTCTGTTAAAACTTATAAGGCGATTGTAAAATCACTAAATTGACTAATTTTTTTATCCATTGATTAAATAGAATGGGCTTGATTCGGACCATTTATTACGAAACAATATTTAGGTTATCGATTTTTTACTACCCACGATTTTATTAAAGTTTGTAATGGATTGTGACAGGCTAAGGTAGTGAAAAACCCCCAATTGTTTTCATTTATCATTAATAATTACAGATATTTTTAAATGTACTCTTACGCAAAAAAGAGAAAGTAGTAATTAATTACTATATTTTATCTGTAGACCCTCCTCAGCGCCTTTCATTTTCAAATCTGGAAACACCGGCGACCCGCCACGTTTCGCCAGTCTTGTTAGTTGTCCACTCGTCTGTAATTTTTAGCTTCTTATACGTTTAGGATCGTAACAGAGTAATATATATCAAAAATGAGTGCTCCAGCACCTTCGCCTGCTTACAAAATCGGAATAGTGAAGCAGGTAATACATTATTTATGTTTTTCAACATTTCAAAAACACAAGTGGTCCGTACCTCGTGCTGATTTCGTTTAAATTGCCCTGTTGGCACCATAATCCTCTACGATTGGACCGATTTAGGTATTTTAGTGTTGTTAATTTGCTCATTTAAACAAAAAAGATGTGAGTATCTTTGCTTTTCGTTGTATAAAGTTGATTGTTCATCCAATCGGTGGACTATTTGTTCTAATTTGAGGTCGCATAGCATGCAGTGCCGAATGTCAAAGAAATGGTTTGATCGCAACATGGTAGAACTAACGATAGGATGCATACCTAGCGCTTGCAGGCTGGGCGAGTAAATAATGAATGTTTGACTTACAGGTATTATCAGGAGATACAGTGGTCATAAGAAGACAGCCCCAGGGCGGCCCGCCCCCCGAGAAAGTGATTGCTCTCTCTGGCATCACTGCACCAAAGTTAGCCCGCCAAAGGCCAGCTAACAAGTAAGTTTACCCTTGTTTTCACTTTATTGTGTAAATTTTCATATATTAAATTTTTATATAATCCCAGTTCGATTACTAGATTTCATCAGAATGGACAATTATTGTTACTTAAAAGTGAAAGTAGTTTTATGTGGCAACTACTTCCAATAATTATAAGTACATTAGGCTAAGTTTTGTAAGCTGATAAGTAATTTTAACTTAATGGATACGCTTATAGCGAATTCTTCATATTTTGTATTCAGTCTCTACATTACAAACTTTGACTATAATCTAAAAATGTTACCATTCTATTGTGTGATGTATGTGAGAGTATAATTATTATTCATCTACTTAATTTAAAATTGTTCTAGTAAAAAAAAAATAAGTGAAAAAAGTAGAAGAAAGACAGTACGTTTTTCTGACGTCGATTTACCACCACTAAGGTAGACATAATAAAATTATGAAAATTGTTGTAGTTAGAAAAACAAACTTTGACTTTTATTTGGCTTGTTATTATATTTTTATTTTGCATGTTGATGTTTATTCAACAGTATTTGTTTTTAATTTTTTTATGATTATTTTTCATTGTCAGCTGGCGAGATGCAAAAACAAGCATAATAGCGAATACATTTTTATATCAAAGCAGGAGTGCCTGCTCTAATAGTGGTCAGAGGACTACTAATATGATTTTGTAATAGCAGACTATGTCATTACAGTCAGAAATAATTAATCAATATTAGTAAAATAGTCTACTAACCTCTCATAAACTAATGTTGCTGCACATTAAATGCAAACATTAAGTCAATAGGATTTTCAATACAAAGAAATCATTGCAACTAAAGTCTGGAAGTAAAATCTTCATAATATACATACTATCAAAATTATTGACACTAATGCAGAGAGACATCTACTAAAGCTTTTATTTTAAAGGATAAACAAAATAAATAGGTATTTGTGTAGATTATTCAAAACAATTTCATTTTTCATATAGGGCCTAAGTTTTGCACCAGAATGTGTTCAAGCCACCATTATTGTCCATTATCATACTTATTTTTTTTATTTTATGTTTTGTAATAAATACAATCATAGAGCATACTGCAATGGGCCAATTTTGATGTAAATCGAGACTTGGCCTCGTAACTAAGATATGTCAACTTTAGGCTAAAACACGTCGCCTAATGACGTATTTTTTTCTAAATTATGTCCTAATATTAACTTAAATTAGTAGCATTATAGGACCAGTACAAGATTTCGTAATTTATACACTTTGCAGAGGCTAATATTAAAGTTGTTATTTGAGATATTAAAATGACACTTCCACTGCTGTGCTACCTTAAATTTCCTAAACTGTTAGTTTGGCGTTTTGTATACCGGTTTTAGTCTCAAATCGGTGAAATATCAGTTTTCTGACTCAAATCAAACAGCATGTCAGTTGATCGGCAATGTGTCTATTCATGCAATTTTATTTTTCATTTAAATTTTTATTGTTTCCTTGAATTTTTTCCTTTCCTTTATTTTATTGAATGAATGATAACTCTATCATACAGTGTTATTTTTGTTTATTTTGTAGTTTCATGTTTATCTATGTTGTAACTGTTTTTTAATGAATTTAACATCTAACTGACCATTATGTTTCTTTTAGCGATGTCGAGACCAAAGATGAACCTTTTGCTTGGGAAGCACGTGAGTTCCTCAGGAAGAAACTCGTTGGCAAAGAAGTAATCTTTACTGCTGAGAAACCTCCCAACTCTGCCACTAGAGAGTATGGCTCTGTTTGGGCTGGCAAAGACCCTACTAAAGATGAAAATGTAACCGAAGGCTTGCTCGCTGAAGGGCTTGCTAAGGTTAGAGATGGGGGCCGTAATATTCCCCAGCTGAAGAGACTAGTTGAAATTGAAGATGTTGCTAAATCACAAGGGAAAGGCATCTGGGGCTCTGATCTTCAGGTAACGACTACATACTTATTTCACATCCTATATACCTTTGTATTACTTTATTGAAAGTTGACTAAATGTATTTAATTAATGCAGGATCATGTTCGTGACATCAAATGGAGCGTTGAGAATCCTAAGGCGTTTGTTAACAGGCACAATGGGCAGCCAATCAAGGCTATCATAGAATATGTACGTGATGGATCCACGGTCAGACTGTGTCTTTTGCCTGATTTTAACCAAATCACGCTGATGCTATCAGGAATAAGGGTGAGTGATTATATCATTTTTACTCTATGAGCCCTATTATAGCTCTTTTGTTACTTATGTACCTTTACAATAAATAAAAAAATAAATATTTTGTACATTCTTGACAGTGCCCTGCTGTAAAGCAAGATGGTGATTCAGAACCTTACGCTGAGGAAGCCCGATTCTTCCTTGAATCCAAGCTTCTACAGAAAGATGTGGAAGTCATCCTTGAATCAGTAAACAACAACAACTTTGTCGGCACGATTCTGCACCCTCAAGGAAACATTGCAGAAGCACTCCTGAGACAAGGATTTGCGAAATGCGTTGACTGGTCATTGGCAGTAATGAAATCAGGTAAGCATTTTAAGTATAATAACTGCTAATTGCGAAAAATGTTGTGAGAAGTTTTTTCATGCTGTGCTATAAACATTACTTCTATTAGTCACTAATTTTGTTACAGTCTCACAGATTTAAACTAAAAATAAACCAGAATAACATTATAACTTAAGAGAATGGATCAATGAACCAAGCCCGTTGCTCGAGTTTTTGCCAACTCTTCTGTAACATTGTATGATCTATTGTGTCAGCCAAGCAGTGTTTCATCTCTGTTTACAAAGAGAATACCTTGAGGTCTATTTCTGAACATAATACTTAAATACCAGATGTGGAATATCTAAGCTGTGCTTTCCTTAATATCGGTTGTGCCATCTCTTAGTATGTATTACCCAGACACTCAGGACTCGAAATTGAACTCGTAAAGCTAGCTAGGGGAGGGTTTTCTACAGCGGAGACGATAATGTAGGCTGGTTTTGCATATACATAATTATATCAACATCCACGTAGTGTCACATCGCGCGGCTCACCTAAAGCTCGCAGATTTAGTGATACCTAGAATTGTTCCTAGTAATGCATCCTATAAATCAAATTGAAAACTACACGCAATATTTAATTATAAGGCCCAGAACAGACGGTGAAACGCAACTGCAACTGCTAGTTACTTTTGAGTTGCATCTAAGTTTCTGCCGTAGCGTTTGTTGAGCGCGACCAGTTTGAAAGTTTCAAACTGGTCGCATCATGTGTGGTCTCTCAACGGACGCTATGGCAGAAACTTAGATGCAACTCAAAAGTAACTAGCAGTTGCAGTTGCGTTTACCGTCTGTTCTGGGCCTTAGTGTACCAATTTGAAACTAATTACTGCTACAATATCACAGCAAATGTATGTGTAACCTTTAAAACTAAGTAAATAAAAAATTAACACATGACATATGTATAGGTGCGTCCACTCTGAGAGCTGCCGAGCGCGCGGCCAAAGACTCCAAGCTGCGAATCTGGACCAACTACACCAGCACGGCCCCTATCATCGCGGCGAAGGACAAGGAGTTCACCGCCACCGTCACGGAAGTCGTCAACGGCGACGCCCTCGTCGTGAGGATGCCCAATAACGCCACCAAGAAAATCTTTCTGGCCAGCATCAGACCACCACGTGAAAAGTAACTATGGTTTTTCATATAAAAGTGAGCGACATGTCTAATGTAATAACAACAATTTTGACACTTGCCACCGTGTAAGACTAACGCCCGTATTCACAAACATTACTACATTATGAAGTCTCATAGTGCGCGTGGACGCACAGGGTGGCACACGAACCAATCGCAGAGCTCCATTCAACGCTGTGCGTTCGATTTGCTGCTTCACTTAAGCAATCATCGTTTGTGAATACGGACGTTATTTTCTTTGTTTTCAAATAATGGACCAAACAAAAGAAAAAAATTGTTATAATGGGTCGATGATACCTACCTACATCTAAAAACTCTCAATCTTTCTTTCTATTGATGAAAACCTTTTTAAAAGTTGTGTATAATAAGAGAAGCATATTGATAGAAGGAGCGACTTTGTATATTTAGTCTGTTCTTCCATTTCTCTTTTGTGTACTTAACCTTGTCTTGTCTTTCACATTCATTCATATCGTGTTTCCATTTCACCATTTAGGAACAGCCCCGATGAGGAAGGCAAGCAATCTCCCAGGCCGAAAGGATTCAAGCCTCTGTACGACATCCCGTGGATGTTCGAAGCCCGCGAGTCTCTCCGAAAGAAGCTCGTCGGCAAGAAGGTCAACGTCACCGTGGACTACATCCAACCGGCCAAGGACAACTTCCCGGAGAAGTCTTGCTGTACTGTCATGGCTGGTGGACAGTAAGTGGAACTAATTCTCATATGTACTTAATGATCTACTTTATAAAAATAAGTCGGGTTTTCCTTCCTGACGCTATAACTCCAGAACGCACGAACCGATTTCCACGGTTTTACATTCGTTGGAAAGGTCTCGGGCTCCGTGAGGTTTATAGCAAAGAAAATTCAGGAAAATGTAACAAACGAAATTCCACGCTGGCGAAGCCCCCGGCGGAAAGCTTTACCATTTGACTATGTCGTTATCATATCTTAAATACTAAGATTTGTGAAAAATATTTAATCACTTATTTTTTCTATGTTTTCAGGAACATTGCCGAGCTACTGGTGAGCAAAGGCTTCGCTACAGTCGTGAGGTACAGGAACGACAACGACCAGAGAAGCTCGCACTACGACAAACTCCTGGAGGCCGAACTGAAAGCCCAGAAGGCCGGCATCGGCGTGCACGCCAAGAAAGACATTCCCGCCCACCGCATCCAGGACACCAGCGGCGACTCCGCCAAGGCGAAGAAGTTCTTCCCCTTCCTGAAGAGAGCTCAAAAGACTGAAGCGACAGTTGAATTTGTTGCGAGCGGTTCGCGCATGAGGCTGTACATTCCTAAGGAGTCTGTGCTCGTGACTTTCCTTCTGGCCGGCATCAACTGCCCGCGGGGGTCGCGGCCCGGCGTCGGCGGCGGGCCCATGCAGGCCGCCGAGCCCTTCGGCGAAGAGGCGCTCGCCTTCACCAAGGAGAAGTGCCTGCAGCACGACGTCATCGTCACCATCGAGGAGATGGACAAGGCCGGCAACTTCATCGGCTGGCTCTGGGTGGACAACGAGAATCTGTCCGTCTCCCTGGTGGAGCACGGCCTGGCGTCCATGCACCACACCGCCGAGGCATCGGAGTTCGCGCGCGCCATCAAGAACGCGGAGGAAAGCGCCATCAAGAAGCGCATCGGCGTCTGGAGGGACTTCGTGGAAATCGAAAAGGAAACTGAAAAGGAAAGGAACCAACCGATCCAGGATCGCGTCGTCAAGTACGAGAAAGTGTTCATCACTGAAATCACTGCGGAGGGTCACTTCTACGCTCAGAACGTAGACTTGGGCACGAAATTGGAGACCTTGATGGAAAAGATTCACCAGGATTTCAAGTCGAACGCCCCACTGCCCGGGTCCTACATGCCCCGACGGGGACAAATTTGCGCAGCGCGCTTCTCATTGGACGACCAGTGGTACAGGGCTAAGGTTGAGAAGCTGACTGACGACAAAAAAGCGCACATATTCTACATCGACTATGGAAACCGTGAGGTGAGCAATTAATAGTAATTTTGCATTCATTTCTCTTGGCTAATCCATGTAAATATTGATTCTGATCCGTAGATAATATTTGTCTATATGGGTTCTGAAGCAGTTATTGAGTAAAAAGTACAAACATTGTAATAGTAATAATGTGAACCTACAGCGTCAAGTACAAGGTGGTTTATTACATGAGAAATACTGTAAGTATTTACTATAAACTGTCTGGTAAATTAAGTGTCTAAACTTGTGTCTGTGCATGCGGACAATGCTATTAGACTATTTTCTTATTTAGAAAAAAGGGGTTATTTTTACTTGTCGTTTATGCGGCTGCGTGGCCTGACGACTTGCAGTCTGGACCACAACAGCAGACTGAAATACCATATCTATTACCATTATTTCTATTTAACCGGCAGACAGTGGTGACTGAGTTTGTTGCGGCGCTTCTTTTTAGCACTTGCCAATATTGGTCTCGAAGCGCTGGTAGTGCAAAAAGAGACATGTGAAGGTTTCATAAGAGCAAAATTTTGTATTAGTCAATAGTCTTGCTTTTATTTTTTAACTAGCGGCCCGCCCCGGCTTCGCACGGTTGCAATGGAATTTCTCAACTTTTCTATAATAATTATGCATGTTTTATACATATAACCTTCCTCTTGAATCACTATCTATTAAAATAAACCGCATCGAACTCCGTTGTGTAGTTTTAAAGATCAAAGCATACATAGGGACAGACAGACAGCGAAACGACTTTGTTTTATATTTTTTATTTATTTATTTATTTATACTTCAATGCCAAAAATATTAACATTAGGCGAACTTAATGCATAAGGCATTCTCATCCAGTTTACCTTTGGGTTATGCAGAAAAATTAGTTTGGCGGTATAACAAAAAAAAACATTACGAACAAGAATTACAAACGTTTTAGTATAACATGTATATTTGACGATTTGTAAGCACTATCTATATATCTATATATATAAAAGAAAGTCGTGTTAGTTACTTCGCTTATAACTCAAGAACGGCTGAACCGATTTAGCTGAAAATTGTCAGGGAGGTAGTTTAGAGCCAGGAGAAGGACATAGGATACTTTTTATCCCGTTCGAAATTAAAAAAAAGTCTGCTTATTTATTGCCATTAAGGCGGAACAAAGTTCGCCGGGTCAGCTAGTTTATAATAGTCGATGCAAATAAAGGAATTTCGACTGACTTAATCCAAACCTGTAGGTTGTGAGCGTGACCCGCCTGGCTCCGCTCCCGCCAGGCACTGAGAGCGAGCCAGCCTACGCCAGCGAGTTCCAGCTGTGTTGCGTCAAGTTCCCATCCGACCCCGACGAGCGGGCGGAGGCGGTGGCGGCTTTCGGCGCCGACACGCTTAACAAGAAACTGCTCATGAACATCGAGACGCGTGGAGCCCCGCCGTCCGTCACCCTCGTCGACCCCGCCACCAATACTGATCTTGGCAAGGTAAAAATATATTGCTTCAACTTTCATGGTCACTAACAGAATAATTATTATTGACGTGATTCTTGCTATTAACCAAGGGCCCTGGGCCTGGGGCAAATAAAAAAAAGGGCCCACTGATATCTAAACTGGTTAGGTTTTAACAAGTTTATTGACATTAGCTTACTTACTCCTGATACAGTATTATTTTTTTAACCATTTCAATTCCTCTATGTTCTCTTCTCTTTTCTTCACAATAAAACGCACATCGATGAAAATAAAACGCACATATCGCATTTTCGCGTTCAATTCGACTGAGATTTGCCCCGGTGCACTGCCCCGCCTAGCCCTTTGGTAGCTACGCTACTGACGTGATTGCTACCATGCACCTTAATTTCGAGTCTCCGATTGCAAGCGCCATGATCAAGGAGTAACTGAGGAACTGGCGGTAAGGTAAAAATAAATAAAGCTTTATTTATCCATATTTAATTTAAAATTACAATAAAATTTACAATGTGATGATACAATGGATCCCTTTAAACAAAAAGTTGTTCAGTTGATAGCACCGTTTTCGTAGCCCTTTTTTGTGGTCCTTGCTATTATGAAGTTTCTAATGCCTACGTTCGGTATACCTAGAAATATGTCCAATATATGTAGCCTATATTATAGCCTATAGCTAGGCTATAAGCTAACAAGCGAGATCTATATTATAGACTTCTCAGTTGCAAAATGACAAAATTTATGCAAATAAGCTTATATAATCTCTTGTATTCGTTATCACTACAGGTCATCGCAAAAATCAACAAATAACAGTTATATATATTAATGATTAATGGCAATGTCCAAAATTAAATCTAGCCAGAGTTTTCATACATTCATAGGAGACTGGGGAATGTATAAGTAAGCATTGAATTATTCACATGGTGAATTTACATAGCGTAGTTGTTGAAAAAGCATAATATTCTTGCAGAATGAAGATATCAATGTCTGCATTGACATATCGACTGCATTAGGTTTGACTTGATGGATATTACCAATTTGTTTTACAGATAAATGCTCGTGTGTATAAATCCGAAGTAGACTATAAATTCCGGGTTAAAATATTCACTCCATGAATGAATCCGAGAGGTTTTAAATCTTTCTTTGGTATATTTCGATCGTGCCCCACTAGGTTTCTTTTAAAAGTAGCGATGAACTAAAAATCGAATGTTACAGTAACTTTGAGACAATATTGCAGTTAATTTCTTCAGGTAAACTCCGCTTTGAAAACGCTTGAAATCCGCCAGTGTGGCAGCTCACTAAGGTCTCAGTCAGACTGCACTAGCGGGTACGGGCGGGTTTTGAAGGATACAGGCTGAACGAGCGATTAGAAACGCCCGCGCCCCTTCACATGCAGAGACGACGCGCATGTGGAGGGTGAACGCAATAGAATATTTGATACCATTTTCCAATAATTCGAAATCAGAACTTTTAAAAAAGACTTCTTTGTTCTTGTCTTAAAAACATTTAAAATCTGGGGGCACGGCAGTGCCCCCACCAAGTCGAGCAAAAAAGCGGCACGGCCGTACCATCCTTTTCTCGAAGCAATTCAGGCCATTTTCGACCGCCTGTAACTTCGTTGTGGATAAAACTAGAAGGCTGAATTTTCATTAGCTATGCAGGCATTGTAAAGACACGGTATATTTAAAATTTCATTCAATTTGAACCAGTAGTTTAAGAATTATAACGGGTCAAAGTTACTTAATTTTGTCACCGCATGAAAATACGTGTAAATTAAATTATTTAGTGCGATGGCCAAGTCAATATATTTATGTAAAACGTTAAAGATTTCCTGGCCTGGACTTGGTATTACATGGATCTCATAACTTTTTACCGTAGAACAACTGAGTTGCGAGACTTGGTTTTTTTGACAAGTATTGTTTTTGATGGGATTTAGATTTTTGGTGGCATTGTAATTGAAGAAAGTAGTATAATTGAGTTGACAAAATAGTGAAGTCACTTGCTTGTAGCCATACAAAATCTATAAGAGTCTCGTTCTGACAGTTTAAAGTACGTCATTGATTGGTGTTAACACGTCTATTGGCGTCTCCGCTCCGAACGAGTCTTGACACTGTTCTCTCGTTCCAGAACCTGATCAAGGAGGGCCTGGTGCTGATGGAGTTTGTGCGCGACCACCGGCTCATGGCGATGGTGGCGGAGTACCGCGCGGCGCAGGACCACGCCAAGAGTTCGCGCCTCAACCTGTGGCGGCACGGGGACATCACCGACGACGACGCCGTGGAGTTCGGAGCGCGCCGCTAGCGCCAGCCGACGCGGGTCGACGCCACCGATTCCACGTCACATCTCACCTGTGCCACTTGCGCGTCACCACACATGGAATCAGTCGTATTCGCAATCCTCAACGTTATCCAGGGCTAAAGCAACTCCCCATCTCAACTCTCCCTTCTCAGAAATGAAACTATAATTATTACTATTCTAAGGGCTTGCTGTGTAAAAAGCAACGTTATGTGTCTATTAGAACTACAGTAAAATATATTCTTCATCATATATTTAAATGTAACACAACAGGGTTTATCCATAGCCTTGTTGTATTAGTTTTTCATTTCTGAAAAGAGATCTACTGTCGTGGTTTGCTTTGTGAAGGTATGCAACAGACTTTGAAATATAAATCATGCATTATTTAATGAATTTTTAAACGTAGTGAATTGTGTGTCGGATATATGAATTTCGTATAATAATAATCAGTGATGTGGTCGTAGCTTCGCGCGCTCGCGGGTGGCGAGCGGTGTCCGCGAGTGCTTCTTTGCTCCAACTGTGTGCGAAATACGATTGTGAAAACATTTTACTATAATATATTATATAAACGTGGTTTGTACCTAACCTCTTCCGATATCATAATTAAATATAATAAATTATCTGGTGTAAATTGATCTTAATTATTACTAATATGGTATTATACACATAATAATTATACTATTATACATTTTGTTTTTTATTCATAATGAATAATACAATTTTAATAAATAATAATAATTAATCTATACTTAATAAAAATGCATTATTTAATATTTACAGTTTTATATCAGTAAATGAAATTAATGTGAATTTATATTTCGTTGTTATGTTCTTATTTATTTACAATGACACGTCTATTAGAAAAATATATCAATAGATTGTTTTAAAATATTATACATTGTCATTGATGTCCATTTTTATTTAGCTGCAGTCTTGTCACTTTAGATTGTATATTTTGTATGACCGTGTTGACGACTACACGTTGGTGTATGTTATGTTTATTGGGAACCTCCCCCATGAAATAATATTATGTATTTGTAATGACTGTCTACCAATATTAGCTTCCCCTTACATTCATATTTACAATTGTATAAAAGACCTACCTCTCTTCCTGAGATGTTTGAAATAATAAATCTATTCAGACTTTAATAGTACCATACGGTGGATTGTTAAACAAACTTGGTATATTGAAATAAATATTTTAGGAAATAGTTGTGGTTTTATTCATTTGTTTACGAATGAGGATCTTTGAAATAAAAAGCATTCTAGTTGTAAAAATACTTTCATTGATAAAATAAGACAGAATTTTTTTGTTGACGCGTTACAATAATTAACACATTACATTTTTAGCGAAATTATTAACGGGAATGCTTTTGGCACTACTTTACAAGCCATACAAAAATAATACACAAAGATGGCCGGCATATTAGTCGCCTTTTTTGATGCCCAAAAAACATTGCCTATAGGCTGATTTACACGTAAGTACATAGGTAACTAAATTTTAACTTGATTTTTCTGTCAATTTGGAAGCCGTTTCATAGTAAACAAGAGCTTGACGTTTAGAATTAAGTTAAAATTTTGTTACGATGCAATTTGATCACTTAAAATTAAGTTAAATACATAACTACTTAAATACGTGTAAATCGGCCTTTAGTGTGACCTAGTTATCCACATTTTACTCTGTTTTAACATAGCATACCTCCATAGAATATTAATGGCATTCTAATCCGTTGGCCACCATTGTATAACTTTTAAACATTGTACACGCATATACTAAGTATGTATCTTAATTACTGGGAATATCACTAAACTAGTAATTTGCCGGATGATTGATAAATAAATAGGTGGTATTAAAAATAATGGTTATATTTTTAAGGTGAGTATATGTTACGGTTAATGTGATAAATTGAAAATTATTAATAATAACCGGTTATTATGAATAATTACCGACAGTCGCGGTAAAAGTGATAAATTAATCACATTTAACAGTGATTATTTAATAATTCAACCTTAGTACTAACAAATTTCATAAAAAAGAACAACATCTTGTGTACGTGCTCGTGTACAGCCAAACTTTAAAACGTTTTGATATCATATATTAATATAATTTGGCATAATGAGTTTGGAATGTTTCTTGCATAATATTACTTTTCCATGACGCCTATAACATAATGTTTTGATTTAAAGTGAAAAATAGGTTAAGGTGCGGCGGGGGTGGCCCTTGGGCCACCCCTAAGCCGCCTATTTAGTTTTATACACACATAAATGACCTCATATTAATCACATTTACCAAATCATGCGGTAATTATTCATAATAACCGGCGATTATTCATAATTTTCACATTTATCACTTTGACCGTAACATATACACCATCATTGCACGTAATGTCGAGTTTTGATTAAAGTAAAATAATTGACGGAATGTAATGTTTGACGCATTCACGCTTTGCTGATATGTCGTTTTTCCTGCGCTTGAGTCTCCAAAAATTTTTAACCTGTCGTAAACCTCCAATCTTTTGCAAAATCTAAATGTAAACTTGTACAACTTAAGACATGAGTGTGCTAACTCACCTTAAGTTTACTAACTTTACAAGAGAACTAATAAAATAATTTAGAGAAATACTTATACACTACAACACTCAAATCAAATGTGGATGTTTGCCGGAGTTTTCCAAGATAGTGGGAGAAATCTCAAAGTGACCAAAACGTGAATTTTACCTAATTTAACCCTTTTCCAGTTTATTAATTGAATCAATAACCGAGGATTATTTATAATCTCAATAGAGTCTACTATGCGATTGCTATAATTTTCCAGAATACATAGCTTTCTATTTAGGCATCCCAACAAGTTCTTAGCATAAATTACTTATTACGTAAAATTCTTGGGAGCTTCTAAATAGTAAATGACAGGACTGGAAATATGAAAAACACAGTTCTCGCTCAGTAGTAGTTAGTTTGATTAAGTGAGATAAATGGGTTTGATATTTGTGCAGCTTGTATTACAGTAGTGCCTACAGAAAGTGACAAAGATACAGTAAGTGATAAAGGAATGCAGTTAAAATTTAAATAAAACCTACCTACACTTATTTATTTAAAAAATACTTATCTGATTCTACGGTACTATTAAATAATTTAAAAAGGTCGTGCAAAAGAAAACATGAAATCCGAATAATAACAGTTATATTTCTTTAATTGCTAACAAAGTTTTTTTAGTAGAATCATTATTGTTTTTTTATTATTTTGTCTAATTATATTGCCATCGATAACTAATTTTGTGAATTATAAACTATCGATTGTAATTGGCTGCAGGCGACGGCTAATTAAGACTGTTCAATGTCTGTTTCTGTAAAGGCACGCATTGATGATACGCAAAAAGTCGGACTTCGTCTTCTATCGCATCGTCAATATATTGAAAGTCATTATATATTGTCATAATTCAGTGTAATGTAAACAAAGATTAAGTATTAGATCATCATAAGAATTACATTGTGCAAATATAACATAAATAGTATCTAAATCGCAATAAATATAATAATAATGATTAAAATAAAAGTAGGTAAGCAATTTATAAACTTAAGTTTGAGACAACTGCATGACGCCCAGGTTAATCCTTCAATGAGAAGTGCAATAAGGTATCTCCTACTTGTAAATACAAATATTTTTGGAGTGAATCATAATACCTCATAGTAACAATATTGCAAATAAAATGCAGTAGAACAATACGCACCAGCCACCAAGCCTCTATTGTATGCAATACTCATTATTATACTATAGTCGAATAGTTTAGAAGATTAGTGCGTATTCTAATAGAGGGAAGTCGAATGACTATTTTACATTAATGTCTAACCTGAAATACATTATTGTGATTACTTGTTTGTAACTTGAATAAAATCTTCTATAACATATTATTCTGTGCTATAGCTCATTTAACAACCGTTAATAAATCCATTTAATATCGCATAATTACAGTCATGTTGGCGCTATTTTACACATTGTATTTATTATGGTAGTTTATCAACATTTACAAATTTTCAAGTTCACGTAATTCTATGCATCTCATAGCATTGATGAATGTGAGAGTGATGATGACAGATACTGATGATTTTTATACAAACACCTACTTATATCTATTGACTCGCGACAATGAGGGCTATCGTTTTTATACTTGTTAACAGTTGGCACCCCTGGCGATTGACAGGACCTTACTCTACAGTGGCGCCATCTTGATGAGTGCAAATGCGATAGTCCTCCTACCACTTTAGCGCTCACCAGCCGGCGCCACTGTCTTCGCTACTAGCAAGTGGCAGGACCTTACTCTACAGTGGCACCAACTGATGAGCGCTAAAACGATAGCCCTCATTAATACAATATATTATGTCAATTGTTTTTATTTTTGTAACATTGATTAACTTTTTGAAGTAGGTATTAGTAACGTAATCTGTTTTTCTTGGGAAATATTATTTGTAAATACTTTTAGTGTTCCGTGATGTTTAAATCAAAGAAAAAGCTGTAATTTGACATTTATAAACTAACAAAAGTGGCTTTTAGTATTAAAAAAGGAGTAAGAATACTATTTCGGGAGTATACCTATCATGAAAAATACATTTGGGAGGTCTGTGTAATAATGAGATTAAATTAATTTATTAGACCAAAATAAACCATGATTTATGGAATTCGATGTATTAAGCGTTCCAGTTTAAGAGTATTGCTTCGCTGTAATATTTTAAATAACTAACTCCTATTAAAAATGTAAAACCTCCGATGCAATCAAGGGATGACTTCATTTTCATTTATTCGCTTCGATTTTGGTGCTCAAATACAACTTTGGATATGGGACAAATGTAACAATATACAAAAATATAGTATTCCCCATATAAATAGTAATTTTATTCAGTGGATTAGCTTTTAAAAATAATAACTTACCGTCTTTGTGGTATTTTTTTGTATGATTTTGATTTCAAATCCTATACCAAAAGTTGTATTATTTGCAGACTAGAGACATTTCTGGATCGGACAGGTTTATAGATCAGTTTACTGAACGACATGGAAATTCTAAGAACATCAAAAGCCGCGATCATTGTCACACAAAAAGTCGGGGCCGTAAGTTACGCCTCCGAAGTTTTAGTGCGATGGACTGTAAGTATCTGGTAGAAAATACTTTTATTTGACGAAACCAGCTATTAACATTATAACATAATTGAAAATCGGGGGCGTAATCACCGTGGGTTATACCCCCGATTTTCAATTAAGATTTTCATTTTCCCCCGTGGGCAAGACACATCGGGAGCGCAACTCACGGACCCAAAAAGACCCGTATTATGAAAAGACAATTATCTAAATAAATAGGTTGAATCAGTTTCACAATACGAGTCTTAATTTGCCGACTTTATAATGATAGTACTTAATTGAATAAGATCATGGATTGCAATACCATGTTGCGAACAAAAATCAGCAAACTACTTATTTTAATCGGAACGGATTATTTATCTATCATCTAATAATGTTCATTTAATCTATGAATTTAAATACCTATTCAGACAATATTTGACGACCATTCGCGGGTCAGTTGCAGCGCGGCAGTAGGCACACTGAGGCAGCAGCAGTTTCAAAGCAGTTGTAACGCGGGTGGTTTTAAAAAAATACAATGCTTCAACGCGCTGCGCTGCACTGCTTCCGCCCTGCCTCCAGTGAGTCATGCTAATATGGCCGCTATAGTAATACAACAGCGCGGGCCCGCGCTCGCGCCGCTTCTGTCCCGCTCCCGCGCCGCCTGGTTTGTCGTTCGACTGTTGCAGTGCGGCGCGGTTGGAGCGCGGGCCCGCGTTCAAATTTGGTGTGACACACTTCAAAGAGTTTCTTGTATTACAACTTGCGCGGGCCCGCATTCAAACTGCGTTGCTACTGCCCCGCGTTTGGTCTGCCGAAGCCTTTAAATCAACTCCATAATTTCAATAAAACAATAATGTCATCATAGTTAGATGTAATTTGAGTAATATACTCATTAAACTCATTATTATTAAACTATGGTAATATATTGCTTAAACGATGCCTCTGCATTTTACCTTTCCAACGGTCTCATTAACAACAGAATACACCTTTATCAATGCTATCATACAAAATAATCTCGCATACGAAACCGATAAGCGCGGTGTCTAGCTCTAGGCTCACCGTATGATACAACATTTATAAAACATTAATATTCATAATAATTGCTCTAAGCTGCCGCGACTGACACTATGTATACTTTGGACAATTTAATTAAAAACTATAATATTTACTCTTCTAATATTTAGGGAATTTAACGACGGATTTGCAATATTAATAATTAATAAGACAATTGTTAATTTATTTTATGTTCACAACAAATCTATCGCGACAGCTTGGTTAAAACATAGTATTGCTTATTAATTATTATTTATTATGAAAATAGTATTGTGCAACAAAGCAATTAAAAATCTCGTTGTGCATAGAAAAATATGTAAATTCTTTAACAAACAAGTGTATATCCTGACCAGTATGTCAAAGGGACTGATAGATAAGTTTTGTCACCCAACTGAGAAAATAATAATATGTAATGTAAGTATAAGTAGTTAAGCACCTACATCACATCACACATAATTTGACTTCCACATATCTATCAGGCTATACCACCATATTAATAAGGCAGTCCTTTACTATAGAATCAAATATACATTAATACTGTTGTTTGGTGATAATTACAATATTTTTAGTAAAATAAGCTATAATCTATTTACATTGTCTCTCACTCTATCATTAAACTTTAAATATGTATTGCTAATAAAATTATTAATTCATATTCTATTAATTGCTCATAGTCGGCGACAGAAATTGTTTATAGTCGAAGTATTATTGCGTGAAACAATTTTCATCCGACATTCGCACAACACTATCACAATTTTGTACTAAAATGTGTTTAGAATCTATGTTATTATCTATATGAATTTAAATTACACTATTTCAACAACAATTTTACGTTATTATTATTAAAGGAAGGTAATAGTATTAAAGAAAGGTTAATTTCTCTGTACAAATTGGGGCGTGGATAAATGTTATACAATAAATGTAATTATTATCATTTGAAAAAGCAAAACTAAAAATTTCGCAAGACGGCTAATGAAATGGGGGCAAGTATTTTTGGTCTAAGTGACCATTCTATTTATTTTTTTATTTCATTGCCAATAATTAAAAACAAAACAATCATAATATATACTTCAAATGCACAGCAGAGCAAAATAAAATTCAGAGACTAGAGACCAGACGTACCTATGTCATGCAAGAATTCCTAGCAGCCACGCCACCATAACCAGACTACACACGGACAATTTAACCTTTCCTTTCTATTATCTTAAAAACCCAAATCAATAATAAATTAGTCTACACGGTGTGTACTAAACTGCTTCTGGTGGGATTTTTTGATACGTCGTCAAAGAAAGGGATGATGTCTTCAGGCAAAGCGGGGACATTTACTAAGAACTGTTGGATAGAAGAGTAATAGTCTCTGCAAGTCCACGTGTCGTCGTGGCCCCCGCCCGGCAAAACGACTAATTTTTTGCAGAGCGCGCCGCACCTAATGTACAACTCTTGGGCCATAGCCGGAGGGACCAGTGCATCATTCGATCCACAAATCACCAAGGTGGGTGTTAAAATGTGACCAATTTTCTTCAAGGACATATACTGCAATACAAAAAGGTGTGAACTCAGAAAAGTAACGAATGGCTAAGGGTTATCTGAGAAATACGAGCAATTGACACAATAATAAAAATATTCGCAATCAGCCAGCTTCAGAAAATAAGATGCAAGTCGCCTTCTCACAGAATTTAACAAATTAATTACACAACAGTGTACATATGTGATAAGAGATATAATAAACAAAAATTACTGATAGCACTTTACTACTTTCATGTGACATATTAAAGTAACTTGTTATTTCAATCTCAACTCACCTTATTTTTATGACAAAATTGAGGCAGCCATGTTAAACATTTCCACTTCAGTATGATCTGCGCCATGTCTGGTATGCTTGTGAATGTATTCTCAACGACTAATGCCCAAATTTTATTCCTGTATTCCAACCTCGATACCAAGTCGATTGCAACTGCTCCACCTACAAGCAAAATGCTACTATTTAACATAGATTACCACTTACTAATTAATTTAAAATAGAAATAAAACAAAATAACACACGGGTACAGACTTCATACCAACTTTGTAAACTTAGTGGTCCTGGTGGTAAGTAATATCATGGAAATAAAAAACCATCAGGTAAAAGGACTTTGCCATCAGTGGGCTGAGTGTGAGTTTACATCAAATGTATGACAAATTTAGTTTTTGAACGTTACCCGCTAGGGGCGCTGTACAATCCGTCATACATTTAATGACATTTTGTTTGAAGCGTTTGATATAAAACTCACACTAAGTTCCTGGCTTAACTTATTTAGAATTTTATTAACATTAACCATATTATTATTTTGAATCATGGATATATGTTTGAGATAATTGCAAGAAGTTGAGGCTCTAATAAAAAAAATACATTTTACCTAATGATCTTCCAAATACAATAATTTTAGTCCGATCAATATCAGTCCGTTGTATTATGTAGTCAATTGCAGATTGTGCATCAATGTACAGTCCACTTTCATTTGGTGCACCCTCAGAAAGTCCATATCCTCTGTATTCCACCATGAGAATATTGATGTTTAACTTGTGATAAAACCCTGATACATTTGATAATCTGGAAACAAATAATAGATACATTACACAAATTAGAATTAGACAAATTAGAAGACTAGAGATTTATTACGCTATTATTATGCTTTCCTTCTATCAATATAAATAGCTAAATACAATTCAATGACAAAAAATTCACAAACCTTTGACCCATATTACCAGCATTTCCATGAAAAAACACCATTGTTGGTTTGTGATTACTATTGGATGTTTGTTTGATGAGGAACATGTGAATTTTGAAGCCATCTTTGTTTTTTATCTTGATACTTTCGTAGGGCAGCTTATAGTTGCTTGGTTGGAGGACAAACACTCTGGAGTCTGGAGGATCATTTGGATAATACAGTAGTAGATCTTGTGCACTGTACAAAATACCTGGGAAAAAGTATTACATAAAGCTACATTTTTTAAAATATAGGGTATAGTTCCTGCAACTCATGAAGGCGAGTGAGTTTATTGGCCTGAGAGGCTACTGCTGAGAGGTAGCCACTCGGCCGGTACCCGTTTAAGGTTGCGTTTTGGAACACCCTGTATATCTCAATATACGTATATGTATGGTACACTAATTTTAGCACATGTGCATTTTCAAAACCTGGGATAAAACATCTACAGTAATAAATATTAAACAGATTGCTTGTGTGTAGGAATGTATATTGCTCTTACAATAAAGTAATTATGACCATTATTTTCATTTTTTTTAATAACAAACTATTCACCTGGCATGTTCTAAGACCCAGACAGATTAAAATTCACTGATGAAATGTGGTTCAGTCTGACTCTGAGCAGCTTACCTGATATTCCCAAAACGAAAACGGCGAAAGCTGTCACAAATCCATAAAACCAAAACACAACAAAACTAGAAAACAAAGTAAATGTTGATAAAACCCACAGCTTGTACAGTATAATTCTGAGTATGTGATACATTCCCTTTTTGTTAAATAAAATAAAATCCAATCATTATTCGTGGAGCAGGCTTGAAACTAGTAATTCGTCAGTCGTAACCTTTATATATTTAATGCAATTTAGTTTATTAATATTATGCTGGTGAAATTATTACGGTTTTATTGCACGTAATATAATCACACATTGGCCAAAAAATAAAATTTAGTTTGGTGGTGACACACACATATATCCAACATGTCAATGTCAATTTTGACTTCTTCTTCTTCTTCTTTTTTTATGGCAACGGCTTGGTTTTGAGAACCATGATTTCGCCAATGTCACGTAAAAATACAAACAAGCAAAAGCAAAAGCGTTTCGTTTTTCCTTAGTCAGAGACCATGAAGCTATAGATAAAAATGGAGGCCACACTCCGAATACCTACTTGAAGCACAACCTTTGTATCACTATCTCGCTCTCTGTGGGCAGACTCTCTCTTTCTAAATAAACAAAAAATATAAATTTGCTCAAAGTCAATGAAACTCAATGTAAAATCTTTATTTCTTGACATAGGTATCATTAAATGTTAAGTGTAAATACTGGTAAAACGTTTTAGGAAGAAATTACTGTGAAATATGTGATAAATGTTTACAAATGATCCAATGTCGGAAATCACGAAATAAACACTTACGCGTGGAATCTTAAGTCATTTCCAGGACACCACGCACTACAAAATTTTGCACCATTTCTTGTGATAAAACAATGATTTTGTCCTGTAAAAAATCTCAAATGAAATTAACTGCCTAATAAACAAAATAGTAAACAACAACCACCATGATGGGCCGGATTGGGCCGATGTTGCCACATGGTGGTACCGATTTCCCAGGAATTGGGATTGTAATTCCCTGATTCGCAAACACATTAAGCCTAAACGGCCGACAAAATTGTGATTTTTATAGGTGTACCAGAATCTCATGGCAAATAGGGAAAATAAACTTTGTTGAGAGTAATACTGGGGAAATTGGAATAAACGATCTTGATACTGTTTAATTTTTTACTTTTATGACTATAGTATTGGTAACATGAAGTACGAATATAAATTTTAGGTAGGTATGTGTACCTATAAAGAATGTTGTTATCAACATTTTTAACATAGGAAAATGTATTGAAAAATAAATAAATCGTATATTACTTTAAGTAACTAATTTTATTATGCATCATACTTTTAACTTATCACTTCATTCAGAACTAGAAAACGATTCTAAGAACTCCACTTGCATTTCTTGTTCTTCAAATAGATGATAAGATAAAGAGGTATTGTAAATAAATGGCTCTTCCAGCATTTCAATGGAGAAGTTTACTGATGTTAAAAACACTATATTTCTCTGAATGAGATTATTTAAATTACCTACATATTTTCGCGTGGAATTGAAATAGGCAGTGCCGTTCTTTTTGTATAAATTCTGGTCAGGTCTGGGATATTTTAAAAAAGGTTACAAAATTTTACTAAGAAAGAATGTTGAGTGACCCTAGCTGAAAAATTAAAAACGGCTAGATTAAAAAAAAGGGATCTATCAACAGCACTGGATCAGGGTTGATTTACTGTTTATACTTCGAATGACTGTCGTGAATACACCGATCAAAATGGCGTGAATAGTTATTCGCAACTTTAGGGCCCTGTAACTTATTTATTTGTAGAGATATTTTCATGATTCTTTCACAATTATTATTAGTTTTACTTATATTTATTTAAAAGAAAAAAATTGGAAACTTCTCCATTATTCAATCTTGCTTGATGAAATCTTTTTCAATTTTCTTTAGATGGTCATAACATTTTGACCATTCCTCTGCACCAATTTGTGAGATATACCTGAAAACCCCGATAAAGCAGCTATTGAGTAAGAATAATATAAAAAACATAACCCTCCTTCTGACGAAGTTGGGTAATAAACTAAATGTATCAAAACATTTCAGTCCAACTTACTGTCAACTCGACGACGCGCTTTAGAATCAAAGATTGACTTTGAATTATGCCTTATTTCACAATTCACATTGAAAACAAGCAATATTACTTGTTTGATCTTTTTCGACTTTTTCACAAAAATAACAAATAGTTAAGAAGAGATTACAAAATTTTTGCAGCGACTGACAGGTGACAATTAAACCATAGACAATTGCCATATGGAAAACACACTTTTCCAATATTTTTGTTTGCCATGAGATTCTGGTAGACCTATAATTTAACTAGGTAATCGTAGTTCAAATATTTAATTATTTATTTGTTTAATTTCTGATTTGGTTAGTGAATTGGCTATTTCGAAGAATTTACTAGGAGATTTCAATAAGGAGATAGCAATACTACAGTCCACACTAAAAAGAGAGGTCGGCCCACAGAGAGCGAGATAGAGATAATTAGGTATTTGACGCAGAGAGCAGAAATAACAGGAGTGGAACTGACAGGCAATCCCCTCTAGCAATGTAAGTAGACCAGTGGTTCACTCAGTTTATAAAAACTAGTTGCAGCGCCACCAATGACATATTCCAAATGTCACTATTGAAGAGTAACGTGCTGCGATAAAAATGGTGAATTGCAGTGTTTTTAATTGTAAGAAGAGATCTGAAACATCAAATCTTGAAAAGGACAACATTACATTCCATCGGTAAATATTATTTTATTTATTTCACATTAATTAATACACTAAATTTGCAAAAAACTAAATTTCTAGAAGTGTTGCCACTGGAATGACTGGAAAGCAAAAATTCCTAATTGTGTAGGTAATATTTTAAGGATATCTTATAACAATATAATCGAAATTCTATGCAAACAATTTGATACTGCCAATAGGTGTTCTCTTTTATGATATTTGTTAGTATTAATACATTATTAATAATCACTGATAAATGTAAATTCATTTATTACTTTTACCTCGACTGTCGGGAATTATTCATAATAACCGGCGATTATTAATAATTTTCAATTTATCACATTTACCCTGACATAATAAACTCAAAAGTGTGTACATTTTTATTTCAATACGCTGGCCACCCAGCGGAAATTTTAGTGTGGTACAGCACAATATGAAATATCGATATCGACATCGACTTGGTGATTGTATTGTTAGAAAGATTTACTTCTCTCCTGTAAATAATTTTACGTATAAACCGAACAAAAGAAAATTAAAACAGAGTTCCGTACCATCTTTGAAAGTTGAATTTCGACATTGAACTAACCTTCTATGTACCTTCACATACGCTAAAGTAATAAAGAATATTGAAAGAGCATGAATGCTCAAAATGCCACCTCCTGTTCATCCTCTAAGGCCCGGTTTACACTAAGGCGGAGTGGAGCAGAGAAGTTTTTTGAATCCAATCAGATTCCCTTATTTGCACATCTTCACTCCCCTCCGCTTCGATGGAAATGAATCAAGAGGAGAAGAATCAGGTGCACTTGATTTTCTATAGAATTTGACGCTGCCTTGCGGTGCGGAGAAGAGCGGAGCGGTGTGGAGTTGTGCGGAGCAGTGCGGTATTTCATAGATAGCAATAGACTGACAGCTAACAGCTACGCACAGCTCACGCATCTCCTCTCGTCTCAGCACCGCTGCGCTCTTCTCCGCTCCGCTTTGGTGGAAATAGCCTGCCAGCTTCGTCGTACATCTCTCGTCTCCGTACCGCTCTGCTTTGGTGGAAACCGGGCCTAAGGCTGATAGTCGATCCCCTTTGCCAAGGGAGTGTGGCCGTGGGTCATGTTTGGTATATAAGAATATTAGGTACCTATTTCATGGGTAGTGTAGGGTAATGGTGGTAGGGTTAATACTGGGACGTGTAAAAGTGCTTTTTAAGAGCCTATATAAATGACTTTTTAGTTTTTTTCATATAACTCTTAACTTTCACAATTCGTATTCGTGCTAGGGAAGAAATGCCAAACTTTTGCGTATTTTCCTTTAAATAGAGATCTGAAATGTTGAATCTCCCATAGGATAATAAATTAATTCATATCATTTTTTTAAACGAGCCATAGACTATGAACCATAGAGCAATGATTCTCATCGACAAAAATATCGATAGTGTCTCAGCGCCATCAGCTGTTACACAAATGTCATTACCTCGTCCCCCTCAGGAAATGGCGAAATTTTTTTGTATGGAAATAAACGCGCGCTGCTACTCCTGTTATTTCTGCTCTCTGATTTGACGCAAGTTGTTATTCCAAGTTTGGCCTCCATTTTTATCTTTAGCTTCACGTTCGATTTTACTTCCATTTGCAGCAGGAATACGCAAAGGCATTGTGCTATACAGCTTAGTCTAATGGCGCAAAATTTGACCGAGACGAAGGGCGAAGCCGTACACCGAATTAATATGAACGATGCGGAGCGAGCGACCTACAACGAAACTAACCGTAGTGCATGTTTACACTTACGTCTTGATTAACAATTTCAAGCATTGTGTACTTGCGCCATTATTTTTTTTTATATTCAAGGCTCCATGCGATATCTCATGCGTTATGAACAGCCAACCAACAGCCAGCCAGTGCTTTAGACCATGAAGCTAAAGCTTCATGCTTTCGACATACTCTCTCATCTGTGAGCCAGTGGACAAACAAATACCTACAAGGGTCTATTCCAGTCTCTCAGTCTATTCCCACCTCTCGTTCCCACCGCTGCAACTCCTGCCTGTGCTGTGTAGCCAGGATCTAGCTTGACCGCCAATAAAAACCCAACCATTTAGAGTTTAGTTTTAAAAAACTATTGGCAATTTATTAAGTTGTTTATGATTTGAAAAGAAGTGTATAAGTGATCATGTTTGTCCCGCGCGGGGGAAATTATACCTAACTACTGTCATTGCGGGTATTTCGCCGAAACAGTCAATTTTCGGTGATTGTCCAGCCAAGCGAACACATTTTTTTTTTACATGGGAAATCATCTAATGTTTTATTTGCTTTTGCTATTACAGTAACAGAAACTACATTTATACTTACCGTAGAAAAAAAATATCAAAACTAGTTTTTCTAATTTCCTTGTCTTGTTATACTGTTGTTTGCCAAAATAAGCACATTAAAACAAATTGAAGCGTAATTTCATTCTAACAGTAGGTAGGTACCTATTCTCTTTAAATAAAAGGTATTAGTTAAATAAAGTGAAGTTAATTATACTTGTCCGCATCAAAACTGAAAAGTATAATTTCCCTGCAGTTCTCCTTCTTTTTCTAAATTAAGGAATGTTTACAATATTACTTACTTATTATGAGTACTTTCCCTCCAGGTGGTATTACAAAATTCCACCCTGTATAAGAAGGCCCCAGTTTAGAGTCTGATGTAACTCCTAAGAATGTTGTTGAGTTTACTGAATCTAAGTAGTAAGAACACTATTTTACATCGTCAGACAGAGGCGGATTTAACTGACTGTTTTAAAAAGTGTGACGCGTGACCTACCTATCATCAGCAAATACTTAGTACTACCAGGCCTCCGTCACTCGCCTATGCCGGCCGAGATAATTACCTACAGCGCGCGACAACTTCAAGTTGCAAATCAGTCAGGACCGCCACGCGCCTGTGAGCACACGCGTATTTCTATACACGCTCGGTCGATCATCGTCACAATCAAGGTTTATTATTCCAACAGCACTGTTATCCTTCTTTAATGTAAAATCGTAGTATTTAGGAATAATAATTAACTTTACTAATTTAAATAAAAAAAACTACACTTTTTAAATAATTTTGAAATACTTATGACAAAAAACTGTAGCAAAAAAAATATTTTAGCTAATATAAACATTAACTTACTTCACCGTGTCTATTTTCCGACACTGCACCTTTTAAAACTATTTGTCCAATTTCGAATTATTGCAACACTGAAGTTTATTAATAGGTACTTTAGAGATGGTACGATTATACAAATACCACTAGATTAAAGATTACCAATCGTAAATACAATAAATGCTTCTTAAAATTAAGTTATTATTTATTTTACTTTGCTTATACAACCCTGACGCTTGAGCTGCGAGGTAGATCAATTCTGAACACAAAAAATTTGCGCTCTTGTGAGCGTAGTAGTAAGGTGCGATTTCGAATGCACCATGTGCGTTGGATATTTTGCATTATTATTATTACCGTTAAAATGTCGGCATCTGATCCTACACAAAGGAGTGCAATTTCTGTTGCTACTATTATGTATTCTGTGGTACTACATAATATGTATATCACACAGATCTTCGGTGTAGTTTATGGAAGTTCATTTATACATATAAAAACAAAAGCGGTCCCAATATAGATCCCTGGGGCACACCCATACGTAATGGGTCTACAGAAGAATCAGATCCATTGAAAGTTAGGTACTTTTTGCATCCTGTCTGTAAGGTATGAGCCTAATAATTTTCCAAATTCATTTGAGACCAGGGCCGCGCCGCCCCTGTGTGCGATGTGTGCGGCGCACACAGGCGCCAAGACAATAGGGGCGCCGCGCCGCTACTGCCACCTATTTTTTTTTAAATGGAGTACATATTGATAAGTAAGTAGGTACAGTATGCGCAAGCGCAACAAAACAAATATTACGCTTACTAAACAAGTCTCTCAATATTTATACGTGGGACACTATTTAAGTTGTGAGCCTAACTATGAAAACAAAGTAGTTTATTATTAAAATGGTATTGATTGCGTTTATTGGTATTGTCTTTCATGATTCATGTATTTTTTAATGTGTCCGAAACACTTTTCATAGCATTTTTTCCACTCGGCTTGAGGCACCTCCAAAGCATGGTTTTTGACCGCACCGACAGTTGCTTTTGGCTACATAAATCGCTGTTCACGCATTTAATTTTAATATATGGGTACCAAAAGAAGTGTTTAGATTCCAAGCAAGAATTTTGTAGCGTTGGACCTGTTTGTTTCATATTTTGAGTGTTCAAATAGTCAGTTGTTTGACGAGACGTGTAAAAGCTCACATTTTCGTCACGAATGGCGATTCGACTATGCTGGTCAATTTCCCTTATTAAACTAAATACTTTTGGAAGAAAAGTGGCTGTTTACTATTAAGAATTAACCATTCCAAAATTTCTCTAGTGACGCTTCTATCATATAATCGGATATTTCGGAAAAATAGGCGACCGTAAGTTTTAAAGTGTTCCGAGCGCATGGGGAAAAAAATTAAATTAAAACAAAAATATAAATTTAAAAAAATAGCCCACTTAGGGTAAAATGGGCGAACTTGTATTCTTAAAATGACCTTACCTATACACCCACGAAGTATGTCTAATCTTCCGCCAAACACCCTGTATTATAATTTAAGTATGATTAAAATATTCTTGTTAGCACCAGTTGCAAGTGCATTTCAGTAGCACTAATATAAAAAAAAAGTTAGTAATTGGCAAGCAGAACGAACGGGATTTACCTATTTAGTATCCTAATTCCTAAGTGGTTTTCAGTTTTAATACACTTAGTTATGATAATATTATCTAAGTACCTACCTTACTGTAAAACTGAAGAACATTTTTTTTAGTCAAAATTAACAATTAAAATATTCGTTAAAAATAATTTAAATTCGTTTTTTTATGACGATTTATTAGAAAAGAGGCGCTTCATAGGTTCCGCACACAGGCGCTGCCGGCGGTCGGCGCGGCCCTGTTTGAGACACTATAATGCCGTAATTCGTGGTCCACTCAATCGATCGCTTTCGATAAGTAGATCACAAAATACTTCTACTGCATCTTGTTTTAGCTTCCAACATCAATATAAGCATGCATTTTTATAATTAACTAGCTGACCCGGCGAACTTCGTACCGCCTTAGCGTAGAGATTTTCTTAATATTTTTTTCCATAAGAACCATCCTTGGACTTCCACAAACATTTAAAAAAAAGAATTATCGAAATCGGTTCAGCCGTTCACACGTGATGCCGTGACAACGCGAAACGGGTTTCATTTTTATATATATAGACTAGCGGCCGCCCGCGACTTTGTAGGTAGGTAGGTACTTAAGCGTGGATCCCGTTTTACCTCCTTAGGGGTTGAATTTTGCAAAATCTTCTATTTGCAATCGTATTTAGCACCTACGTTAAAATTTGAGACTCCTAGCACTTGTAGTTTCTGAGATTTCGTGATGAGTGAGTCAGTCAATCAGTGACCTTTCGCTTTTAAAGATATAAATAGATAAATTACTTATTTAATCACAGAGTAATATTATACTATCCGTTCGCTTAAAGTTTGCCGCTGGCGATATGACGTCACTCGAAGGGAATCGTTATACAGCCACACATTTTGAACGTTTGGACTGTTTTTACTTAGGTAACCAAAAAGCAAAAGAAGATTTAATCTGGCCAAAACCGGCTACTTCTACGGTCTACCACAGAAAACTTCTACCCTGCTAATCTAAAAAGGCAAGTAAAAATAAAACTCGATTGGATTTTTCTACATTTATTACAAACATAATTACTAGAACAATATTTTAAAGAGCAGCTAGAATAACTTATTAAAACAGAAAAATGTCAAATAATACAGTTTTTTACATACAGTAACATTATTTAAATAAACATTTTAACTAACACAACTCTGTATGGATCATTAGGTCTGAAATAAATTACTGTTTATTTATTTAATAGATTAACAGCTAAGTAACATTCAGTATAAAAATAAACATTTTAATAGATTAAAAGCTAAGTAACAGTAGGTATATATTTAGTTAAACATTTTAATAGATTAACAGCTGAGTACGACTAACATAGGCGCGCGCGCACTTGACATGATACTCCATGATAGATACTTACGAATCTTACGATTAGCTAATATTTATTTACTGTTTCTTTTACACCTATATGCTACAACAATATTAACAGTGGGCAACATAACTATTCCATTGGCTCCACGTCTACACGAAACTTGCTATGCATAAGGCGCCGAATATCAACGTCGGGATATTCTCTAATAGTGCTGTACGCAGATGTATATAAATCTAAATCACGTGTTGGATTTAAAGGCAGTAAAATTAGGGCTATCAGACAAGTTGCCTTTGTATTTACTTCTAATATGCCACTACACAGTGACACTATAATATCAGGGTCATCCACATCATCTCGCAGCTCTGAGCCCCTAAGATATTTTTCAATATTTTGAACACCATTGTAAAGTGCATCACAGAGGTTTTTAGAAAAATAATATTGATACGTATTACTCTCAACGGATTCTCTTATTGTATTCCCAACGCGTCTCCCGAACTCGGTAGCGGCTGTAGTCATCACATCTCTTTGGCGTAGTGTCAGATTTTCATTGATTACTTGCCTGTTGGCAATGTTAATGCGCAAGTCCCAGACTTGGTTATAAACTAAGTTCAAAGGAAAAGTCGCCTCCAAATCAGTTAAAATCGCCTCAAATAATGGCAAACAATTTACGAAAATATTGGCATCAGGTCTACTACAACGTGGCAGTATATCGAACAGCTTATCGTCTTCTGGCAAATATCTGGGAGCATTCAAAACTCTAATAAATTCTTGATACATTTTCCTGCCTATAAAACTATAATTGACACTAACGTTCCAGTGCCTAAAGTACGCACCTAAAAGTATTTTTGCTATTGCAATACCTTCAGAACGCTCCGTGTGAGTCTCACTACGATATGCTATGTAGTGTAATACGAAATCTCTTTGAGCTAGATAAAAATATCTTTCTTTACCCCTTAGCTGTACAACTCTTGCAAATGGGAACGAATTAATATGTTCCGTAACAATGCTCTCAAGAGTTTCCACACGTATGCAATGGATTTTATCATCCATTTGTTTAAGTAACTCTGCTTTAGTTGCTAGATTTTGCTCAGTATCTTGGAATCCTTTCACAGTTCTCCAAAGAACATCAGTATATTCACTTATGAAGTATAATGGCAATTTGTGAATTTTCGAGAATACGGACAAACATGTTACGTCATCCGTATCTCGTAATTCGGATGTTAACATTTTTAAGAAATCGCACAAATCGTCAACTTGTTCATAAGCAATCTTGTCAAATACAGACTTGTATAAAATCTTTCTGATGGAAGTATTAGTCGTGTTTCTCCAAATGTCTAGCACAAGTTTCATCGTATTAGTTAAGTTCAAATTGTAAGCTAACCTTATGCCATGCTGTTGAATTTCTTCAACAGGTGAATTTATTAGAGTTTTGATAAAGCTAAAGCACGATTTATTGGGCAGAGTTGTACAATATCTGTTAATCACAGGCACGCAGTATTTCATATAATCACCCTTCATGTACATCAAGATATTATTATGGTGAAATGTTGGCCTTGAGAAGCTTGCAAATTGGCATATTGCCTTTTTCAAGTATAATATTGATTTATTTCTATGAGGTATTATTGTTTCAGAATCAGGTGCGTACCTCATGAAGAACCTGATTTTGAAAGACTCATCAGCCAACTGAAAAATTGCATATACTGCGGTATCAATTCCTGAGCACACACCTAGTGCTGAATTTTCATTGACTACATTAATACAACAAGTCAATAATACTTGGGCAAGATCTTTTGAAAAGTATATTTTTACCTTGCTTATGAAACGCTTCAATATGACGCCCCAGCTGCTAGCGATATATTTTTTCAGCTGTGGCATTTTCTCAATTACCTTTCTTACGTCAACTTTGAGATATTCCAGTAATTGCTTTTCACTTAGTTGCGAAACTGGCTCATTGATCATTACTGGCTCCTCATTTTCTTCAACTAAATATTCACCAATGTATGGTAATAGATCATGAGGAATATCAGCCCTAGTTTTACTAAATACAGATATTAGGTCTTTCAGTAACTTAATGTATCTTAACAAATTCCTATCATTACTATTTGAGTCAAATCTAAGAATTTTGATTTTATAGAAATCAAGAAAGTAATCATATATTTTTTGAGTAGTTTCCACATTAAAATTCATTAAGTATTTATCAAGGGAGCTCATTTCTATGTGAACGTCCATATACTCAACTAAGTCTATGGTCATAGCTTTATCATTTACTATCTTATATAATAATGTAACAACTTTAAATTTACACCCCGGCGTGTTAGCTTCAATAGTGCTGGCAATTCTATAATATGCATTCCAACATAATTCATCGAACTCAAATACGTTTTGATTATTCAAAACTAAGAGTAGGAAATCCGGTTTTCTAATATCGACGTCAAAATATGCATAAAAAATAAAATAATGATTCAAAACTCTTTCAATTTCAAGATTAGTTTTAGCAGCTTTTACTAAAACTTCAAAAAGACGAAATAATCTCGTCGGGTCTAAAGTTTGTCGCAACAAGTTTGTTATTCCGGTAAATGTTGTATCAAACATTGTGTATTGAAACCAAGTGTAATCATTGCCAAAACCTAAAAATGCATTCGCTAAGTTCCGCAGTGCCCAAGTTTCCCTTTCTTGCGGCGTCATTAGGTTGTAATACTTTGCATCAATGAAATTATTTGACATTTCAAATTCTTCATTGTATCTTAGTGCATATACTCTCTTGGCATAATCTAATCTTTCCCTCTCAGGAAAACTGCTAATAAGCTTCCTAAATCTCTTTTGGTGATGTTCATCATTCCAAAACTCTATTACACGCCTGGGTAATACGTATAAACCGTATCGTTCAACGTCGTTAGGCAAACTATACCTAAGCAGACTATCCAGATTAAGTATATTTGCATACAAGTTAGGTCTCGCCATTATTCTTTGTTTGTGGTGTTTTACGATTGCCGTAGAAGTTTTTAAGCCCAACTTGAAAAGATTTGCGGACCGAACATTTACATGCCTCTCCAGCAAATCTAAGAACCGTTCGCTTGATACAGTGAACAAGTGACTACAACTGCGAATCACCTCATTTTTATTATACGCTCTTAACTGTAAAAACTCTTCAAAGATTACAAAAGAATTACCTATAAACTTTCGCCAGTATTTACTGTTGTTTGATCTAATACTAGTATGTAATTTTTCTCGCATCATTACTATCTTGAATGATTCTGATGTGAATAAAAGAAGTTTATATCCAGAAAGTCTCATATGGTATTTTGAACAGTACTCGTAGAAGTGTTCAGCACGATCTTCAGCACGATCACTATTCTTAATATGTTTTGATAATACGTTAAAGAACTTAATTATCATTCTCGTTGACATATCCGGGAATATGTATTTCTCCATGTAGTCGGGGTTAATGAGGGTTGTGTATTTGTCATTAAATAACCATTTGCATTTTTTTAGTACTCTGGATATGTAGAGCTCGTCTCCTGATTTGAATATATTATGTAATATGTAATCTACCTCCTTGTGTTTAGCAGCCAGGTGTATTTTAAAAAACACATCCACATCGGATGTTTCATCTTGGTGCCTGATTTCTTCTAATGGGACGTTTGTGGCGAATGCTTCATTGACTTGGTCGTTAAGTTCACGCTGGCGGGATGGCAGGTTCTTTGCGGTGAATCGAACAATGGTGGGGTTGTTGGTCGGGCGCCTGAAAAGATATAAACATTTAAACATTTATTTATAGGTAAACTAGCGACCCGCCCCTGCTTTGCACAGGTAGGTAGATACAATGTATTATACTTAAAAACCTTCCTCTTGAGTCAATCTATCTATTTAAAAAAAATCCTTTACATAGTTTTAAAGATCTAAGCATAGAACCTTAAGCTTTTTGTGACCGACCTACTTTTTTGGGAAAACGACAGTACTTACAACTCCACCTATCCCCCCTTTGCTAGACTAAAGATTAATTTTATTGATCAATCATTAATCAGATGAAGTTTTTGCCAACACTGGTAGCCTATGTTACTTACGTGAAATGTTTAAAATAAAGTGAGCCATCATAGCTTACATAAATACTTAGGTTTTAAATATAAAGAAAGCCAAATTAAGCTTCGCTTCATCTTAAACAATTCATGACTTGATTACACAATTGAATTTGGTAACGCGCTAATAAGATATCCTTATGTAGGTACCTTTAGTTCGGTTCGTGCCACCTCAGTCACATTCTGGACATTACCACAGCACAGTAGGTACAGGTTATCACCAGAAAAGCTCTCAAATTGTAATAAAAAAACGGTACGAGAAGGTTCTGTTGGTTTTACAACAAAGACAAAGCGTCCATAGACAGAAAACCACTGCACTGGATGCACAACTGGGTCGGAGACTGGGATCCATCATCGACCCCTCCTCCCAACTCGCATGCGCTCTCGATCAATCAATAGTGCAGCGGCGCGCATTGTAATTTTCGTATGTTAGGTCATTAATATTATATTACCTACTTTCCCATTAGGTTGGTACATGATGACTGAGCTTCAAGTAAACGTGGTGTTATGCCCAGTTGGGCGAGATCCACCTGTTGTTTTGCAATGTGCATAAACCATTGAAAATCACAAGGTGGATCCTGGCGAGCGGCCTCCGGCGTAAATACTACTGAAATTGCAGCCGTTCTTGGGACACGAACCCTACGGGCTTTGCCCTTTTCTCTACCTGGCCCAGAAGATGCCCACTCTGCCCTAACAGGAAACCACAGGACACTGTGTCTGTACCTACCAGGTACCTAAGTACTGCAGTAATTTACAATTAATTGGAGTCTAAATCAAATGAACTGAACATCATGATCATGACCGTTTTTAAGTCTAATGGTGGTGTTTGTTTGTGTTAAACAAAGCAAGTGCTGAACTCAGTAGCTCAATGCTTTTTTTTGTGGTGCCTTCAGTCTGCGGTTTATCAACGAAAATTAGTTAAGTATGAAAATCTGTTTAACATTATTTCATTTTGAAAATACTCTCGCTTTGCTTGCATTTGAAACACCTACGAAATATGAATCTCGCTTTGCTTCGTGTTTATGTAACTTGCTCGTTTCATTAATCCAGAAATTAAAACAAAATTAATCTGGGCAAAAAGGGAGAGCTATGAGGAGTTCAGTCCATGCAGTTTGTTTTTGGATGTGATCATGAGTGATAGCTATCACTCATGCTCAGTATGTGTAGGTACTTTATAGGCACGAGCTTTCGCGCTCGCTTCGCTTAGATACATAGCTACTTAACAATTGCTTAATTTAAAAGTCACACGTCTTAAAAGCTAAGTGACAAAGTAAATTACCTGTTGTAACCTAACTGGCCAATGTAATGGTTAAAATCAAGTAAGTAGGTACTCGTACCTTACTATTTTTTCTAAAAAATATTGTGTAATGAACTGAAAACTATAGGTCCTGGTCACCGCCGACTTCGTTTGCTCAGGGTTAGGGTAAAAGTATGAAAACTCACGAAACTCTTTATTATCTGACAATACTTTCTGGATTTCCCCTAGTGTGTGTTGCGGGGTGAAATATGAACCACCTGTATTTATCAATTCTAACAATCGTAACTAAATACAGTAAGTACAAACCTACAAGCATTTATTCAACTTCAACTTCACTATGTGCCACACTTTCAGGTTCCACATTAATCTGTTCACTTTCAACAAAAAATACACATAATTCTGAAAAAGGCTGCAAAGGACAAAGTCTAGACCAGACAGGTGTCCTCAACCTACATCGACCTCCAAGTTTCTCGCATGCGCCGTCCGTTAATCGATAAGTACTTACTGCATTGCAGGCTGCTCCGATGTGCGCGGTAATATCCTTTATTTACCCTTAAAGTACACAGGTACCTACTCAATGTACGAGATAGCTTAAATCTTTAAACAACGGATTTGATGATGTGTTTTTTAATAGCGATTCAAGAGGAAAGTTCATACGTAATAATACAAAATAATAGTAGAGAAACACTGATAAATTTTGAGGTTTGTAATGTAAATGTCGTAAACAAACCGTGTGAAGCTGGAGCGGGCCGCTATGTAGTTTATCTTCGTGTCATACTAATATTAGGTAATTGTCAACGTAACAAAACAGGATGTAGGTAATATTATTAATTTGAACAAAATGATTTTGCCTTCATAATTTCGATCTCCTTACATCAATCGTAATCGATCATTGGCATAAACAATCGTTAAATAAAAAACTACCTTACTACCTACATAATCATAAACTACCCACATTTAAAATTAATACTGGTTTTGATTAGTTATTCACTTGTATAAATATATTTTCTAGCTCCAAGATCACTTCAGAGTCACTCAGATTTTCCCCTACTACGTTCTAACTTCTAATTTAATTCGAGGAATTATCTACTGCACTTACCTGTAGTTTGAGGGATGTACCATTTGATGCAGGCGATTGGAAATCATTTTGCAGGAGAGTATTAGCACTTTTTATCTTGCTGGTATCGAATAGCTATCAGATTGCTCGACCGCACTGCAGCTCCAAGATGTCTGGCTCACAGGTCTGTCTAGGCTTCCAGATTTTCTAGTATTGATTTTTAACTCCAGGCAATGAGAGCTAAGGAGGGCGGACATGCGCAATCAAACTAGGGAGCAACTAGGGAGTTCGAACCTGCGCAATCGGTTTGAGAAAATATTGCAAGCGAAAAAAAGGAGATTGTTTTATAATCTTAAACCCTAATTCGGTATTACGTTATGCTGCTATTCTTTCACTGATACAAAATACAGGGGCTTTAAGTCTTACCCTAATATTGAAAGGTGAAAAAATTAACCAGTTTAAATTACTCATAAAATACTTTTGATTATTTCGAGCTGGCAACATTTATGAAGTGACTAAGCACAATTTTCTCGAATGTGCCCATCTATAATGATGTACCTACCTGTTGGATTTACACGTGGAAATAAATATCACCACGATAGAAATGGGAAAGATGGGTGTGTCAAATAAAAGAAAATAAGTAAGAAGAGCAAGAAAAATCAGAGAGGCACACGTGGCTGTCTTTATGGCTTTTGATATTATTGATCTACTTTGAATTCTTACTACATAGCTACTATGACGAATAAACTAAAATTGATTTATTTTTTAAACCTACCTTCAGGACCCGTCTCCTGGCCAGCCCATTGTCTTTTGACTGACTTTAAAATTAATCCTTATTAATAACTATTCCACCTCTGGCCCAGCGGATATCGTACCGCCTATGTTCATTAAAAACAACGTGGGATTCTATGGTGAAATAATTTTTCAAACAATAAAATCTTTTCCTTTTTTATAGAGGTACCAACTCGTATTAGTGTAGATTTCCCACCAGGGTTAACTCGTATTAATAACAGCTTTGTCTGGATAGTGTTTCGAATAAAAGTGACTAATTATTAGGTCCCATTAAATTATCAGGTACTCACCTGGATGATGACCGACGTTTTTGTTCTGCGAATCGTGGAAGTGGAGGTTTTTGGAAAAAATGCTTAATATACATTTTGTAATGGTGGATATAAACCGACTGAACTAATGATTTTGAGATGATATTTCAGCACTTTTCATGAATTTTTACTGGATTTGAATAGTTAGCTATCAAAATGCGCGATCACTCTGCCAGCTCCGTTAGGTCTATGCGAGGCTCCCAGATTTTACTAGGTATTGATTTTTAATTTCAGATAGACTCCCGGGGCCCGGGATACCAATCAGAGCCAAGGCGCCTTGCGATTGGTTTGAATGTATTGATTTACCCCTATTTTTTTTATATGTTTTATGGACCTGGAATCTAGATTTACGTGTTAACTAATGTTACCAGTTAGAAAGACAAAATACTTAGATGCTACATTATATACAACAACGAATATTGGGTTAATGTTAATGTCATGTTAATTTTTGCGCTACACAAAATACTGAAGGGCCTAAAAGCTAAGTTTATGATACTCGAATAACAAAATTATTTTTTTGTGCTGACAACACCGTGACAGTGTGATTTAGGCTATTCTTGTCTAGATGCACCTACCTGTTGAGAATTCCTCTAACTTCTAAGTGCAAATTACCTACTGTTGTTAATGATTAAGATTTTTACGTTATTTTTTAAATTATAAATGGTTTTGAAATTCTGTACAAAGACGAAAACGATACACATTTTCTTTATAGTAGTAAAGTTGAGGTTCTAATAAAACAATGTATCACGTTAAAATATTTTTATTTACAATAGATCGATAAAAATTTGTAAGTAGCTTAACACAGAACTCCAAAAATTATTATTATTATTTTAGATACGCTACGTAGAATGTTCATTATGGGTGGGTTACGGTGTAGTTGGTATCGAGTTGGCCCTCTTCCACTTGGTAATAGAAGGCACTTAGACGGTGTATGAGAAATCATAACAAAATGCACTAAACCACACTCATCGTGAACTCTTATAACTCATAATTTAACTAATTGCTTAAATATACCTAATGGACAGAATATTCAGAGTATGTATTGAATAAAAATAAATATTTGTATATTATTCATTTGTATAATTATGTACTTACACTTTATGATTCTGTGGCATAATTAGTAGAATAAAAACTTTCAATTATAAAAAATAAAATATACATACATATTTTGTGGATTGCAAATATGATTACAAGTATCCAAATGCATTGAAAAGCAATGTAGAATAATAAAATAATTAATAAAATCACCTAATTACTATACTACAGTAACGAGTAGAAAAGCAGCGCCTAAACCAATGAGTTTGTTTCTATTCTTAGGTGCTAGTAATTTTACTTCCCAACGGGTATAAGTAAACAAGAGGTTATTAGAAGAAAGTTTGAGTGATACAGACGTTCTCTACAAGACGCTAGGACGGGTCAAGAGGTAGCTGCCTTATATCGTAAGGATGACATCTCACAAAGCTTAGGAGTAAATATATTCATACAACCGATTGCAGTTTGGCGGAAGGTATATAAATATACAAACTTATTGACTCATATGAAATATCTTTATAAATATTTGTTCTTAACTTAATGTGGCTTAGTAACAATGCTACCCCGTGGCGATATCCGACATAGAAAGAAGTAAGAAATTAATAAGAAAGAACTTTATAAGACATATGGGTATGTTTACATAGGTACTGGAATTGAGTACAATTCAATACAATGATAAAATAAGCAAAAAAAAAAACTAGTTTTCGACGACATTCAGTTGAAACTACTTCTGCACCCTGTATAGCAATATTCATTAAAATTAATTGCATTAACTAATGAGTTAAATTGTCTGTTACTAAATTTATTAAATTTTAAAGACATCGTTTTCTCAAACATGATAATAGCCCTGGCGTTGATGTCGCGTGATTTAACTATCAATTAATCCTGAAAAGCTAATCATGATAATATTACTCATCAGCAGTTTTGTAGTTCACAAAATCTGCATTTATTTACTATCATTTTACGACATACAAATGTAAAAGGCGTCAACAAAGAATACTTTGAGTTTTCGCTTAAACCTACTTATTAATCATAATCTTTATAGAATATAAAACTTCAAAATTATTACAACAACAACAAAGGTAATTTATTCTAGAACAAATGAAATAGTAAATTATGATAGATTATTACCTACACTTATTTGCTGTTAACACCATTTTTGAGTTTCTTAAATTCATTGAAGAGGTCTTGGACATCTTTCAGGGAGCGTTCGATTTGTTGCACGAAGTTGGAAGAGCTCTGAAAGTGAAACAAATGAAAACGGATAACATTAAAATATCAGAAAAGTTTCTAAGGCCGGGTTGCACCATCTTACTTTAACTTTGACAAAAGTTAAAAGTCTGTTAAACTCCATAGAAAATACACCGGTTTTCGTCATAGTTACTGTTATAGTTAGGTGGTGCATCTCGGCCTTAATCTTCAACTTTACGAATGTCTCGATTATTCCCCTATCATCGTACAAACAACAAGATTCCATTGAACTGGGTAACATAAATAAAATTTGAAACATAATGGTTAATTTGAAATTAAAATTAGATTGGTTAAACTTACTGCTCTATCCACTGAAAGCTAAACAAATGATTGTTTTTCATTATTTTTCTTAAACATACGGACAAGTATTAGTTTATTACAGCATCTATAGCCATAAAAAATAAATATACTATCTGCGAAAAACACTGTTTTTATTCAAATAAAACAAGCGTCAGCGTTAGTTGCTCAATACATACTATTGAGTATGTATTGAGGATTACAGTGCAGTTTGTTTTATATTATGTAAATTATATTTTGTAAATAGCTTAAAATGCTAAAACTTGACTTGACATACCGGCCATCGCACTAAATAATTTAATTTCTAAGTCCAACTCAATATATTTATGTAAAACGTTAAAGATTTCCTGGCCTGGACTTGGTATTACATGGATCTCACAACTTTTTACGGTAGAACAACTGAGTTGCGAGACTTGGTTTTTTTGACAAGTATTGTTTTTGATGGGATCTCATTTCTTTTTGTATTTTGTAGACAGCAGTTATGTATCTAGAAAACTGGACCGAAATTGAAAAATTTTACTCGACTTGGCGGTTGCACTACCGTGCCCCCAAATCTCATTTCTTTTTGTGTTTTGTAGACAGCAGTTATGTATCTAGAAAACTGGACCGAAATTGAAAAATTTCATTCGACTTGGCGGTTGCACTACCGTGCCCCCAAATATTTTAGTTTTTCCTTGATTCATACACCAAACCCTACTTATATTCCAAATTTGAAGCTTCTAGGTCTGCTAGAAGTGCCTTAGAATTTTGATGATCGGTGAGTCAGTCAGTGAGTCAGTGAGTGACAAAATTAAGTAACTTTGACCCGTTATAATTCTTAAACTACTGGTTCAAATTGAATGAAATTTTAAATATACCCTGTCTTTACAATGCCTGCATAGCTAATGAAAATTCAGCCTTCTAGTTTTATCCACAACGAAGTTACAGGCGGTCGAAAATAGCCTGAATTGCTTCGAGAAAAGGATGGTACGGCCGTGCCGCTTTTTTGCTCGACTTGGTGGAGATTATTGTAAACCCTTGACGAAAAGGCTGAGAAAATGCTTTTGTCTCAGCAGCCTTCTTACTATTTCAAAGCATTAGGGTTAAAGGTATACTGGAAAATGTGAAAGCGATTTAAATTTTGCAAAAAATACATGTTTATATCACTATGATACAAATGGAAAGTTAAATTACTTTCATATAACGGCCAACCGGCCAAATTATATAATCCATAATTTGGTGTTTGTAGTAAAAGGAACATTATGTCGTGCGCGAGATATTGCCTGTTGTTTTATTCTTTTATTGCACGTTAGTCTCATCAACAGCACAACATCGCAATTTTTGCTAAGCGGGCGCCTGTTTAGCAAATTTTTTATGATAATCATGTCTATTTATTTATATTTTAGGAAACAAACAATGTTGATATACAGACAAATAATCAAACAAAAAATAGGACAGAAATCAGCAACTTGTATAACTACAAGTTATAATAAATAATACTAATACTATAACTTGTTTTATCCGCCACATTGTTATGCTGAATAAAGATTTTCTTATTCTTATAACATTACCTGTTATAACTACCAGCAAAAAATAATGAGACATGAAAGGGCCCCTTAGGAGCGTTTGCTGATTTGTAAAAATTAATTTAATTGATTTGATTTTTCAAGAATTCACGTGGACATGTAGTGAGTGAGTCAAACTACAGGGTGTTAGGTAAATGGGTATATGAGCCGACACTAGCCCATGTTAACATGGGCATATAAATGGTATGGTGAAGTCAGATCATCATTTTAATTTTACCCTGTGTAGGATCAAGGGAACACGTACCGTGATAGGGCAGCTCCTCTTGCTAGAGACGTGGAAGAAGAGCGTGTCCTCCCCGACGATGATGTAAGACACCCCGTAGCCGTCGTCGGCCACCGGGCCGAAGCCGCCCCCCGCGCTCATGCACTTGGGGTGTTTCTTCAGGTCCAGCAGACTGGTTTGACCTGCCACACAAAATTATCACTATGTTTATTATCACTAACTACACGGGAGCTTACATGTTGATGTTGCCACTTTTTGCAGCGCATACAATCACGTGGTTTTACAGTCGCGCGACTGCATCGCGATTGTATCTAAGCTTTTAGTATCGCGTGTGTGTAAATAGATGTTTAGGGGCTGTATCGATGCTGCACAGCAACTGAATCGCGTTTGTAATTGTATAGCATAAAGTCGCAATGTACCTCTGAATGTGTCCTAACATACTAATATTATAAAGATAATAGATTTGTATATTGCATGTTTGTAACTAAACTAATGGACCAATTTAAAAATAATCTCTTACCATTAGAACACTATGCTACATTATCAAAATTCAACCAAAAAACAAAGTTTTCCGTGGCGTCTGTCTGTATGGTTTTATCACGGATATTAATACGGGTTTCACCAATAGGTAAGTCATTAATGGGGAAAACTTTAGGTAATTATTTGCTAAGGAGAGATAGAGGGTTGTTTTTATCTCGGTTTTTAAAGGGGCGTTCGCAGGGGATATTCACGCGGACAAAAGATGTGTTTCAATTAAATAATAATATTAATATTCTATAAACATCTATTAGCTAGAGTAAGTAAATCGATTCTGAATCAAATATTAAACATACACACAATGCCATGCTTCTATCAACTACAATATACAGATTCAACAGTCCACTCCGTAACTTATTTAATGTTTTTTTATACCTCGTGAGAAGACAAATAGGTAAGTAAGTAATTTATACGTTTTGTGTAATGCTATTGACACAGATATTAAGAACATTGCTATCGCTTGAGATCTTGACATACTTTTGTCTGTAAATGCATTTGTTTGTAAAGTCAATCGTTTTCTTATAACGACAACCGTGCATTTATTATCATGGAACTTACTACAATAATATGAACCTAATTCCGACGGTATTCGGACCTTATTTGATTGATTATACTACTTATTACATTATTACGCGTAGTAGTGTCACGTTAAGCTTAAAACTAACTATGGCGACTAATGAATAAGCATGCTTAAATAGATCCTTTTTAATTAAAATACTTGACTTATGTAGGTAACTAGTTAGTAAGAAATCGCGAATGGTTCAGCTTACGCACATTCTAACTGTTGGATAAGACGGTGCTAATTATATCGACCGGTAAATTGATGGGTGCAATGTCTATTATTATCAGAATTACAATCAATTAAAAATGCAAGATAGAGTGGTATCACAATCTACATTTTTGATTAAAGATAAAACAAGTTCCTGGATTAATAACTAATTTATCGTCTAGTCGTAATGATTATATTTAAAATACAATTAAATTGTATTATTAATTGATAGCATGGCCAATATTTGTGTCCACCCCAGGATGTTGGCTTACCGATTAGAAGATACAGGATGGAATTTTGTAATGCCACCTGGAGGGAAAGTAGGTACTCTTAATACTGCTGCTAATAGGTAAAAAATACAGAGTGTAAGTTTTAATAGATTTTAATCGGTTCGATTCCGGGTGTGGCAAGCAAATTTTTGAAAATCTTTGATTTCTGTTCTATTCATTTTAAAAAATAAGGGAATGTTTTTTTATCTACAGTATTATGAGTACTTTCCCTCCAGGTGGCATTGCGAATTCCAACCTGTATAGCTTAGATACAATCGCACCACCCTCGCGTTTCCATCGGACATGGTATGTCAGGGGCCAAACCCTCCGTGAAAAATAACCCTCGATACGCCAATGGCCGTTTCCATACCTCACTCACTGATTCAGTTATGCGCTAGACCTTAAGTATAAAAAAAAACCGGCCAAGTGCGTGTCGAACTCACGCACAAAGGGTTCCGTACCATTGATTTATGAAATTAAATTATTATTTTTTAATTTAAGTTATTTGTATGAAAGATTACGCGGTAATAAGCGGTTTACGATTTACGTATTAAAAAAAACTACTTACTAGATCTCGTTCAAAACAATTTTCGTTTTTAAATAAATAAAATAATATTCTTTATTGAATATCTTATTTGACAGTTTAAACTGTAGGCTAATCTTATGCTACAAAAGGTAAAGTTATACATGTGCCTGAACTAGGAATTTTTTTTCCTGTATCTCAGGCGAAATAAAGGCTTAACGATACTTTATTTAACTATCATTAGCAAAATACATATTATACTTAGGGCTAATTTTTCAATCGTCAGATATCTTTTAACGGAAGAATAAACTTGTCATTTTGACATATTTCCCATATTAAAACTGTCAATGTGCCAAACTTATTCTTCAGTTAAAAGTTATCCGACGGTTGAAAAATCGGTTCTATATTGGCTCACATAAAATTCTAAATCCTATTCTTTGTCTTACTACCGATTTGTGTTCATAATAATCTCTCTTCATAATTTTATTTTTCATACTTTTTTTATTCATACATTTTTATTACTACCATCGGAGCTCATAACAGTTAGTAATCATAATTTTTTTATCAATACTGTTACTACTAAGAACCATTTAAAATACATAATTTTTATTTTCAGATCTTTTTTTTTCATAACATTCATTGATCATATTGTTTTAATTAATAATGTTGTTACTAAGAACATACTTCAACTCATAATGTTGTTGTTCAGAATAATTTACTTTATAACAGACATACTCGTATCTTTAAAAAAATCATATATAATTTAATAGAGTAGATAAGCATGCAGAGCATGCAGCATGAAAGCAAGCATGCAGCATGCATTGGTATCTCCTCGTCTCCGGCGCTGCGGGATGTGCAGCCCTTCCGCCCTTGCGTAACGAGGCTCAGGCACCCACGCTTGCTTCCGCAGCTTCGGCTTTTTGGATCGCCATCGGCGCCTTCGGCGCCTCGGCGACCAGCCTCAGCCGCTCCAGCTCACCCGGGCGCCTGAGCCTCGTTACAGCGGGCGAGGGCTGCCCTCCCTCCGCGCCTCCGGCTTTTAAATTACACTCTAGGGGTAGGGCAGACAAGACTACGTGGAGTCGGTTTTGCAGCGATTCGTTTCTGTCACGTTAGTTTTGTGGCACAAAATATTGCCTGTTTTGGACCATTTCAAATTAATTTAATGTTAAAATACGATTTAATACGAATATAGACATCATGATTTTCAATAATATGGATAAATACACTTATGAGTAATAAATTTATGAAAACAAATATTAGGATACATCACATTTATGAAGATTATAGTTATTTATTTGAATGATTATGAGTTTCGATCATTAGTATAGAAAAATATATGAAAACAAATATTAGTAAAAACTGAGTGTATGATTAGTGATATTATGAATATCAATGATTATGTTTTTAAATATGTAGGTTTTAAATTTTTTATGAAGAATGATCATTATGGTATCAAATTGTATGAGAAAAATTTTCGGACCTCCAATGATAGGAATTGAAAAGTTATGTAAGAAAATGCGCTACCGAAAAATCAGCCCTTAAACAATCAACAAATTATATTTTATCAATACAAATTATGTTTATACTAAAAATTAAAATCTATACGTACACATTAAGTAAAATCTAAGAATTAAAATCATTTATTATGGTTACATTGTGCTACTTAATATTGTATATACTAGTAGTTTTCATAGTAATGTACATCATATGTTTTTTTTAGATTTTTCATTTTCTTATTTTAGAAGTTAGAGGGGGGGGGGGGGACCAACTTTTTTCCACTTTGGAAGCGTCTGTCACGCAAACTATTCGGTTTAGAAAAAAAGTATTTTAGAAACCTCGATATCATTTTTGAAGACCCCACACGTAACACATACGTGTTTGACGAAAAAAAAAGTTCAGTTCTAAGTATGGGGAGCTCCCAATATTTATTTATTTTTTTTTAATTTTTGCATCAAAATCTTAATGCGGTTCATAGAATACATCATCTACTTACCAAGTTTCAACAGTATAGCTCTTATAGTTTCGGAAAAAAATGGCTGTGACATACGGACGGACAGACGGACGGACGGACGGATAGACAGACAGACATGACGAATCTATAAGGTTTTCGTTTTTTGCCATTTGGCTACGGAACCCTAAAAAGTGCACTTTATCGAAGTGCTCCTTCAAACCCAAAAATGCTACAATCAATTCGCTTTCCGTGCAAAATCCACTACTCATCTGCTAAGATCCTTACCGTGTGGTGTCTGGCTGGTGGACAGTCGCCAGGGCTCGTTGAACACCTCCTGCAGGAAGGGCGACTCCAGCTCCAAGTACTTGGAGACGACGTACAGGCAGAACAGGTGGCGGTCGATGCCGCGGCCTGACATGGCATCCTGGTAGCCGAGTTGATGACGCTGGCTGGCTTTCACGAACAGATCCATACGCTCCTCCACCTGAAGTTAAAAAAGCACATCTATATTTTCGCAGCAATATGCTCAAAAACAGAACACATTGCTCGTGACAGCAATGTGCCATGTTTTCATATTTCAAAGGTTTACCAAACCCCTATTTTTAATGTAACAACGGAATACAACACTTTCGTTTATACTATGGCTAATGATTAAATGTTGTCGATGGTTTTAGATAACAAATTAATGTAATGCTTATCGTGCAAAATCTATATTCACCCGTAATTGCATGTACAATTATTTACATGTCGGTTACATAATTACGCGCGAGCGATAAGGATGGGTAGCTTGGGGTCATTGGACAAAATTCTACGTGCTCACGGACCAGGCTTTAGTTAAGCTTCAACCACACCAACGCGTGGCGCGATCATAGGCCAATGACAGGTAGCGTGAATTATCATGGGTCGCGCGACCTGTAACTGGCCTATATGAACTCGAAGCTTGTTAGCTTGGCTGATATAATGAACTCACCGACACGTTAGGGTCGACCATAGCTTTGACCCAGGCGGAGCTCTCGATGGTGCAGGGCCGGACGGTCTCGGTGCGGCCCTCGCGGAACATACGGGTCATCGACGCCTCGTACGTGAGGCAGAACCGGCCCGCGTCTCTGTAGTACGACAGCTGGAGTACCAGCTGGATGAACGCGTCGGGGGACACGCGGCATTTCTTCATGAATCCTGCATGAGACATAATAATTAAGTTATTTTTTTTAAGACAATATTAGTAATTAGCGGCCGCCCGCGACTTTGTACGCGTGGCTCCCGTTTTACCCCCTTAGGGGATGAACTTTTCAAAATCCTGTTTTAGTCATCATCCCAACTAATATTATAAATGCGAAAGTAACTCTGTCTGTCTGTCTGTCTGTCTGTTACGCTTTCCCGCTTAAACCTCGCAACCGATTTTGATGAAATTTGGCATAGAGATAGTTTGAGTCCCGGGAAAGAACATAGGATAGTTTTTATCCCGGTTTTTGAAACAGGGACGCGCGCGATAAAGTTTTTCTGTGACAGACAAAATTCCACGCGGGCGAAGCCGCGGGCGGAAAGCTAGTCTACTCTAAAAATTATTTATATTTTTCTTTATTCAGAAAACCATAGCTCTTTATAATATTAATACAAACAGGTATTTTTATGGTACTTAGTCATCTCTTTCTACAGCAAAATCATTTCTAAAAAATGCAATAATGACTTCCAAAAAAACAAATTAGTGTAAGTCGCGCAACAAGAGTTGAGGCGATTAATGCAAAGATTTGTATCTGTATAACGCTTGTCGCGCTATGATGTCTGTTTCTTCAACTTCTCCATGCAAAACGACAATACCTATCATAATTAGCATGGCGTGCATAAACAGGTGCATATGACAACAGCAACTCACCTTTCCCATATTTGGTGTACATAAGTATTCGTAGGTCGACGTCGTTGAGCAGCTTTTGTGCGACGTTGTAGGATAGGTCGATGGCGCTGAGCGTCTCTTCTTTGTTCAGGTCCCACTGAAGGCGCGCCGGCGGCGGCGGCGGCGTCTCGACAGTGCCCTTTGTGTTACCGTCTTCGGTGTATCTAAAACGCAGAAATATGCGTGATGACAGATCCGTATAAAGGATGAGTTGTAAACTTTTACTTTCAAAAATTTAAGACATTTTAAAGTTGGGTGAAAACCATTAAATACTTCGACACAAAACAATTTTTCTCACTAAATTCACGCTACGACCAATAGAAGCGATGCATAATGTTGCTAAAACGAGAAAACTAATCAAATAATGTTCAAGTTGCAGGCAAAGCTAGTCTCAAGGAAAGTTATAATCTAAAGCAAGAATCGAACTAGATTAAGATAAATCCGTGAAATAACTTATTTTCCGTACACACACGCTTGAAAAATCTGTTATTGATATTTATTTACTTAAAAACGCGGAAATGTTTAAGGTCAAGCCGATAATATAATCACCTTTCATACTCTGAACTAATTATCATAATGTGATATTAATATTTAGTAACAAACGTTTTACGTTGTAATATTTTATTTGTGTCTCGCTCTTTCATTTTTGAAACGAGCGTAAGAAGTGAGTTGTTAATAAAGGAGACTTCTGTCAGTTTTAATTTGAATAATTAAAGAGACCAACATTAAAATTTGTGTGGAAGACAAAGCCCTCGCTTTGTCTATTGAACTTATTTACATAATAGATGTAAATCAAAGCTGTATTGTTTTTATAATCAATTAGATCGATTGTGATTCAGTTTACTATTCCTTGTGAACTTACCCAATTTCCAATTCTGACCAGATGACGTACTCCCAAAGGTGGCCCATAACTGGTGCGTCGGCCCTGAAAGAAATATCTTCATGAAGCATTTGACAGTGTGAATATGTTTGCACTATACAGGGTGTTAGGTAAATGGGTATATGAGCCGACACTAGCCCATGTTAACATGGGCATATAAATTGTATGGTAAAGTCAGAAATTTGATATCATGATTTTATTTTTTTAAATTTTCATACAAAATAAATTTTATAAAATCCGATTTGTATGAAAATTTAAATAATTAAAATGAAGATATCAATNGGTAAAGTCAGAAATTTGATATCATGATTTTATTTTTTTAAATTTTCATACAAAATAAATTTTATAAAATCCGATTTGTATGAAAATTTAAATAATTAAAATGAAGATATCAATTTTCTGACTTCACCATACCATTTATATGCCCATGTTAACATGGGCAAGTGTCGGCTCATATACCCATTTACCTAACACCCTGTATACAAATATTACAATTAACATAATTGCTTCCTTTTATCGTAGTGTTATTTGATCGAACTGCAACTTCGCTAATGATATCAAAACCACATTACGCTACAGACAAATTCAAATATTTCTTACATAACTTGGTTAATGTATAGGATGGAACATAAAGACGAAATTATGTAACTAATGCGGATACTATTACCCGTAGCAAGACGTGTTTTGCTTATTTATAGTTAAGAAGTAGATTTCTTTTGTTGCGTCTGTATTTCTGAAGTCATATCGTTATATCCCCCAAGGTTCTTATTAATTCATGATTGAATAGGCATCTTCTGGACAAGCTCACTCGATCATAGTTTAAATCTAGGTACTCTGTTCAAGTGAGGTTATCAGACAATATGATAATATTGATAATCAAAATCAATCAAGTCACTTGCTACTCGCTTGTTATGCTATTTTTAAAGTGAAGAAAATGTAATGAAAATGTAACAATAAGTACATACATTTTCATATTTCTATAAAAATATACTGAAGTTTGAATTGAATATGAATTGTTTATTACAATTTATGTATTACACTATTTCATTATTTTTTACTTACCAAGTGTGCTCGGCATTAAATCCAACCTGAAAAACGAAAAATTTGGTTGAATTATACGAAGTTTCTTTGAATTTCATTAAAAAAGTTTATTTTATATAACTTTCATCTGTTCGCGATTCAACAACAACAGAGCTTGTGGGCGATGATGAATTGTTGACGGACTTATGTTAATCGTTTTGTACCTAGTACATAATCTACACACTAACGAAATTGAAGCTGTTCTATGTGTGTACAGTACATACGAGTAGGTACTNTTAAAAAATATATGTTATTTTATTTTATTTTAATTATCTCTTTATTTTGTATAATAAATATTTCATAGATCAGTAGTAATTTTCCTTATTTTCATACTTTTTTTTGCGTTCCGCTAAATCTGCCGGTGTGTGTAGAAAGGACTTTGAGAAGATTATATTTTGAACAGAAATAAGAACTCGTATCAATTGACATCTCGGACAGTTCAACTGGTTTAACCTTTTACTTTAACACATAACATTGAGCAGCGAGTTCTTTGACCATTAAAATGAAATGATCGTTGTTGACTTACATATCCGTTGGTGCTGAAGCAGAGGTTGAACGACTTGTCGAACCAGCGGTCGTAACCCTTCCCGTGTAAAAGTACGCGCCCGTATTCATCCAACTTCGACGGGTCTTTTTCGTCGAAACCGAACTCTCTGTCGTCTGCAACAAAAGATTCGTTCGTGTCAAGATACAGTTGTCGGCGCATTAGGCGAATACAAATATTTGTCGCCAAATAGGAGGACTTATTACAACTGCACGGCGCATCTTCTCAGCACTTGCCAAATATAATATGTTTGTCTCCAAGCACTGGTAGGTAGGGCAACAAAAGATTGAGACACGCAAAGGCGATTTATAAGAACTATTTCAATTAGTCTATACAAATAAAGATATTTCGCATGAGATGTCCCAGTATAAAGAGAGTGTTGAAGACTGTATTATATGACTGTATATCCCGATGTTTCAACAGCTCGCTTAGTCTACTTTAGCTACTTTCATAGCCTAATGTCATATGGAATCATGCTATGGGGCAAAGCTGCAGATTTTGAAACAATATTTATTCTGCAAAAACGTGCCATAAGATACTTGTATAAAATGAAAGCAAGAGCGTCCCTTAGGGAATTGTTTAAAGAAATTGGCATTCTCACGGCCGCTTCACAATACATCTTAAACTGTATTATATTTATTCAACAAAATATTAATGAATTCAAAAAGAAAAGTGATATTCACCAAATCAATACTAGAAATAAAAATAAATTGGCTATACCCGCTTTTAGACTTAATAAAGTGTTTGCCACCTTTATGGGACAAGGTATCCATTTTTATAACAAAGTCCCTGATAAATATAAAGAGCTACCGTACAATAAATTTAAAGGTATAGTTAAAGATCACATGCTTAAAAAAGCCTATTATACAACTCGAGATTTTCTTAATGATAAGTCCTCCTGGGAGTAGGATTATGGTCCTCTCATGCTCGCACTAAAAAGAATTAAAATCGTGCTATGAAAAGTAATGTATAAACTAATCTAATTTTCTAAAATGTTATAGTGTCATGCTTCTCAATCTGGACTGTTACTTAGCTTTATTATTGGGTTTTTTTTTTCTCTAAGAGATAACTTGGTATTGTCATTCTCACTAAAATGTCTCTGGGGTGGTGGCGTAGTGAGGCGGGTCGTTACATTCCCTCTAATATGGTCGAGTGAAGCGATGGCTGGTTCACTCGTCATGTCTGTGAACAGGCGCTGCTTTCGGGGACTGGTCAATCCAAGTTATTCCAACTTATGTATGCGAGTCATTTCTACTAGTATTTAAGTATGTAATCTGTAAGTCTAGATATTAGCACGTCACTACCTTGTTTAATATGCCACGCAATTTTGTATACCCATTCTTATAAGATACACTATACAAGAATGCATGGTAAATTCAGTGAACTGCTCCTGAATCGAATGTACCTGCTATTTCTATTTATTTATATTAACCGGCAGACAGTGGTGACTGAGTTTGTTGCGGCGCTTCTTCTCAGCACTTGCCAAATGTTGGTCTCGAAGCGCTGGTAGGGTAAAAAGATTATGAGACATGTAGAGGCTCCTTAAGAGCAAAATGACGATTTGTAAGAACTATTTATTAGTCTAAACAAATAAAGAAATTTTGACTTTGACTTTGACTTTTGTACATAATAGGTACACATTGCTACGAGTAACTCAACAATGAGAAGTCCAACTACGCCAAAGGTCGCAAGCACAATGATGTTTTCTGTGTATGATTCTTATTTTTTATAGAGGGTCACATTGTATTGCCACTTATTTATTTTTCGCATTTTTTTAGCTACAACGAGGAAGCTCTTGGCCTGTATCTCACCTGATGGTAAGTGACGATCAGTGGGCTGAGTACTGAGTCACTAGTGAGCGTGTTTAAAAAATGTATGTAAATTTTAGTTTTTTAACGTTTCCCGCTAGGGGCGCTGTACAATCCCGTCATACATGTACACTAGTGAGCGCGTTTGAAGGAAACTCACACTAGGCCCTCAGGCCGAAGGTGGAAGCGAGCTTCACCCGGAATCCTCAACCACGGAGGACCTGGCTATCTTACCTTTAACTGTTGGAACAAAATTATTATGCTGTTAACATTGTTGTTATGGCGACAGACTTAGGTAACTCCTAGCCCGTTAAGTGTACGACTCAAGTACAAACACGTATTTTATACTACTATAAATATAATATTAATAAAATCACCAATAGACTGCTTGAACGTCGAGTTCTGCGAGTTCATCGAGCCATTAAGTCTAAAGGGTATATTTACTTTATTATGCTTACATAAGCAGCATAAATGCAACGAACACATGTCATGTACAATTTAATTACAGTATGACATTGTGTAACAAATGATAAGAATGGAATTGACCCCAACAGTAGTTTATCTATATGTATATTGTCTAATCAACATAGGTTTTGCAAAGTACTATCGCATCTTATTATATCCCTAGACCATTTTTAATATAGGTACTTACGAGAAGTAGTTTTGATTTTTTGATATTTCTATTAAAGCATTATTAATCAATGTTTTATTAGTAATTTAGTACATTTCAAGAAACTATAAATAAAGATTTGGCAATTAATTAATCAAAATATATCTTGTATCAGTCTACTTTGTCGCGCCTTTGATTACAGAAGTCACAAATAATAGATTATTTTATTACTAAACCTGCGCCATATCGTAATATTCTGAATTACTTGTATGATATAAGATTCGTGCATATGCACTAGTTTCGTTGCTACTAGGGCAGTCACGTTTTCAGTATTATGTTTAAATACTGAAATCGTAAGTAAAGTGTTTTAATACCTTTAATTGTACATGTTTCATGTATTGATACGTAGGTATGTTTGAATCATTCGAACAGCGTTGACTTCGCGTATTATGAAATGATTGCCCGGAGCTGAACGTGGACAAATATGTTCGTCGGAACTTTGGATTGAGTAAACAGTTTACCCTTTAAAAAGTCTAATAATAACAATTTGTTTGCGAGTAAACACACGGTAGGATCATAGTTCAAATAATGAATACTACGTGGTGTCTGTGACCCTTGTACTTGTGAAAGAATGTACGCGATAAAACGTAGACATTCTAGGCTTAGTGGGATAATTCCCCCTCAAAACTGCTCTTCATAGATGTAGGACTTATAGGACATAGCACTGATCGCAATACTAACTAGCAAAGCGTAAATAACATTTGGTTTTATGCTTGCTTGCAATAAACTGTACTTTGTACAGAGTCATACGCTATGAAACAGTCGAAATACACCGGAATATCCGCAATGCAAGTAAAATCTGATAAGATTGGTTCAATGGTTATGCAAGGCCACAACATAATACCCAGCACTGATAAAATATGTCTGGTAGATAAGCTATCGCTGAAGTGGAGGATGCAAATCTGATTTTACTATTTTTATATTAAAGATAATCTGATATAAAATTTTTGGTAAATATTTTTTAAGCATACCTAAATGGAGGTTTATAAGGAGGCCTGAATATGTTTAGAAGAGTATATTTGTCTTTTGGGCGTCTTTTACGTCAAACGGAAAAAGTGGGAGTGGTCTTTTATTACTGTTTGAAGCATACCGATGTACCTATATCATACTGATGGTGAAAATTCTTTCACCGGTAGATTAATGAGTGAGAGCAATCAAATCGCACGTATCCTCTCGATTAGGCCACTGTGGGTTATTTGTGGTTTATCTTCCTACTCCAACTAACCCTGATAATTCCAAAAAGCGAGCAGCCTGTGCTCAAGCTAAACTAAATCTAGTGTGTAAGAATATTTTAAAACTAGCTTTCTGCCCGCGGCTACGTCCGCGTGGAATTTTGTCTGTCACAGAAAAACTTTATCGCCCGCATCCCTGTTTCAATAACCGGGATAATCTCTCTCTCTCTATGCCACATCGAAATCGGTTCAGTGGTTTAGGCGTGAAAGCAAGACAGACAGACAGAGTTACTTTCGCATTTATAATATTAATAGTATAGATGAAAGAAGCTAATAATATTGACCGAGTTTCTTGAGCTGTTACTTCTCAACACTGGTCCATATTATTTATCTCGAAGGTAGGGTTGGGAAGTGTAAAAGTGATCTTTGAAAGCCTACTTTCAGTATAATTCGTTTTAATAATGGTAGTTACCAAGGCAGACGTTAAACGCGGCGCGCTCGATGCAATGCAAGGAGGTTCTGTTGTGGCCGCGGTTGAACATCGTCTGGCGAATGTGCGCCCAGTGGGAGCGCTCGCCTGCCGTCAAGGCCGCGAGGCGCTCCTCGCCGACCACCGGCTCAGAATCGTCGTCTAGAATCTGCTGGATTTGCCTGTTAACAACAAAATACTTATTAGAAAAAGACAATTTATTAAGTATTTGGAATCAATAAAAAAAACTAACTTTTGCTCAGCTACAATTAATAGTCTTGAGTTGCACCAACTTTGTCGGTTCAGTCAACTTACTTTAACCGTAACTATAATAATAGTCTTTTGTATAGAGTATGACAGATTTTTGACATTTGTTAAAGTTAAAGTAAGATATTATGGTGCAACTGATAAAAGATTGTGGTCAAATACCTGCCTTGTTATGCCGACTGCTTATCTGGCGATTTTTTTTGGCTTTAAAGGACGAGGAATCGGTCTACACCTACATCGGTGTAATGTGCGCACTTTCATACATGTTCATACTAATTAACAAACCACCCAACCAAACTATCGGCCGACCAAAAGTTTGTTATCTGCGGGGAGGGACTCTTATTATTTCATTTACATTATCACGTATTAATTATTAAATATACTTTAATTTATGCTATTGTTAGCTTATTAACATGTACACAACGAATAATGAATTGATTATCTTAATTGTTTTGAGACAAAACAAATAAATAGCACGCGAATGGAGATGCTGAATACCTAGTTACTTCATCACTACATAATATAAAACAAAGTCGCTTTCAGCTGTCTGTCCCTACGTATGCTTAGATCTTTAAAAATACGCAATGCATTTTAATGCGGTTTTTTCAATAGAAAGAGTGATTCAAGATAAAGGTTTACATGTACTCGTATAGTACTTAGCAACCGTGCGAAGCCGGGGCGAGTCGCTAGTTTATAATGAAAGCGATAACGAAATGGAGATGTCATGTCACATGATGTCGTATTTATATTTAGTGCCACGGGCGTACGAGTTCAATTGTAAAGTCAATTATACATGGCTATTGTTAGGTATTTATTTTGTAGGTAGTAAAGTATGTTACAAAGGAGTTGTTATTTGGATGAATGAATTGGAGAAAAAATTGTTATTTTATCACTGAAACTCGGCTAATGTTGACTCAGTATTTATTATTGGCAAAATGAAAGAGTCACTTTATGTATTTGTTCACAGTTTAGTTAGGATAGTGCAGCCTAGAATAAAACTATTAATTTATACGATGATTCTATGATTCGCAGCCTTCGGTCCTAATCAATAGAAGATGAAGAATCACTAACATTTTGTACAGAACAACAAATTACTAGACCAACCACTTGTGTAGCAGCTCCCATAGAAAAATTAACATCATACGAGATTTGGGAATCAAACTATCAGTTTTGATAGTTTGATTCCAATTTAGTGCAAGAACCGCATAGAAGGCTCATTTTTGCATTAGTGATTCTGGCATTTATGCTATTTAGCAACTTCGTCCCGTGAAGCAAAATCTAAATCGAAAGTTTGTTTGGGCATGATTTGTTTTTAAACATTATTAATATACTTAATAGAACATTATTGCGTGTGATGTTTGCTGTATAACATTGTACGTACCAGGATATAGTCTATCGCATAAATAACATACATTGTACCTACCAAACGGCCGCCACACACAGAGGTCGAATGGGGCCGACTATCAATTTGGCCCAGCCCCGAATATGGGTCAATGTTAGAAACCATCAGCGTGTTGACGACTACTGTGTTATATTAGGACTTCATACATTAGAAATGAAATAGAAAGCGACCTTAGCCTGGATAGGAATAGATAAAGATTGACATATAAAGACTGCAAGATGAGGTTACCGCCGATTATTATCACCGATTATTCTAGTAAATATCTTATCAAGGAGAAATAAACCTAGTTTTGTTGTAACAAAATGCTTAAATTCTACTAATAGGACATTTATATTCAAGGCATAATTTTTCGCGAGCATTACGAAAAACGCCGAATTAAAATGAGTCCCTCAACCAGTGTCAAACTCTTTGCTATTTAAAATTGTATAGACCGTAATCGTTTCAATCATGATTACCGTTACTATCGGAATATTGTTTAGTCACAAAATTAAATGAGATAATAAAATTAAATATCGTCTATAGATCCGCTTCTTTATCGGACCATTAACCCCAGCGACGTGCGTAAGCCGAGATAAAACTCTTCACCTAATTTCTGACCTTTCGTCTGCCACGGGGGTGTTCCACAGATTATGACCATGTGTAATTAATATAATTAACTGCTTAATCAACACATTAAAAATTATCATGTGACATGTGTCTTGAATCACAGTTAAGTTCAATAACGTGTTTAACTTATTTAAAGCGTAATACGTCAACACAATAAACACTGGAATATTAATCAAAATGTAATAATTTGGCAACAAAAATGTGAAGTCTGGTGTGCTGTTGACTGTTCATAAAGTATTTGACAAAGCTATTTGTTATGTATGAAGTCGATCGAGTATTTATGATACGAATTACATAATGGAATACCTACTATCATTATGTAATAGAACGACACCATACATGTCAGCTACTACGATACCACACACAGTCACGCTCACGTCCTAGTTTGGTTAGAACTTCCATGTATAGATTGACTGTTTAAAATTACCATAGTAATGATATTGGAAGATATAAACCCAATTTTGGTTAGTTCAAGTACTTTGTTAACTTTTTTTCAGAATACTGATTTTGCAAAGGAGAAAAGGGATGACAATGACAATGGAGAGAACGATCAATTCGTTTCAATTGTGTATCAATTATCTGCACAATTGCACGCATAATTAATGCGATGCGCTTGAAGCAAGACAAGTGGGCACTCAGTGCGACCTTAAACTGCTGGCCTGGCTTCATAATCGACGCATACGGAGTGGTCTCAATTGCACAATGAATGCATATCCGTTACGTAGCTGTTCGCTTTCAATGAAATTCGCAAGGTCTTTTTACGTAATTAATTAACATTTTTTGCGCGGATTAGTCCTTATAGGAGCGTTCAGGATTAGTTGTTTACTAACAGAGGGCTTAAAACAAAACATGACACTGGTGTGCAATGTGCGATCCAAATAACTGAACAGAATGACTGAAACACGACATAATATTTGAATACAGTGTGCTAACCATGAGTTTACGTTAGGTGAGCTCGCTAGCGAATACGTCAAAAAATTCTATGAAGATTTTATTTCTTGAAAGTAGCCGCTAGGGGCGCTGCACAATATGTCATACATTTAAATGTCATTTTTTTACGCAGTCGCTAGCGAGCACACCTAACGTAAACTCATGGTAAGCACACTGAACACAAACAACACTTAGTTTACACATACAAATTTAAATATCGAATACAAGCACCTGACTCTTGGAATGACTCTGCAATGTTCGATGTGTATAGCCCGACCAGGGAACATAAAAACCCTCGCCATGTTGCGGAAAACTAATGGTACTAATTTCTTTTAATGGCAACAGTATAATAAATACTATTTTTTCTGTTGTGCCAGTGACTTAGGCTGAGTACTAAGCCCGTGGTCTAGGCGCAGACTATCGATTTTACGTCGGCCGATAGTTTAATCGGGCAGTTGATCAGTATGGAAGTGTATAACCGTAAGTATAACGATAACCAGTATTTTTCAATGGAGGACAGGATTTTTGACGTTTGTTAAAGTTAAAGTAAGATAGTGCAACACAGCCTTAACTATAGAAGATAAGGTGTAGTAGATCAATCACTCACACTTGAATATCACATGGCTTGAGCAAGCGGCCTCGGGAGTTCACCATGACTTTGAAGTATCTGCCTTTGTGGTACACGGTGATGTGGTTAGAGTCCTGGTAGTGCACGATTTTGTCTGTCTCGATGCCCGGCACGCGAACGGTGTTGAAAAGTCGCTCGTATTGCCAAGAGCATAAAGGCACCATGCCTTGCAGCATTATCTGTGGAACAGCTATCCGTTACAAGACTGTTTATAAGGACATGACCGTATATTAACGGATAATTCTTTATATCACAGATTTTATACATTCAAATTCAATCATCACATCTAATGATAATCAAATAATTATTGAAAACTATTTTCATATAAATCTTCTTTCACAAGTCATCAATCATCTAGCTAGTTAAATTACTTGAGGAAAATGTGTTGATGATTCTCGCATAAAAGCAAAATAAACTACAACTACGTACAACACACAATGTAATAATATTTATCGCTCAGGTTTAATGAAAAATAGTGTTGCATACATCAAAACATGTATAAATCTAACATAAACCACCTTGATACTTGAACTCTATACCTTGAGTACAAAACAACGTGCTTCCCGATCCGAACCCCTATATTGAATAAGTGGTCCACTTACCGGCTCCAATTCCTGCCTGTCAATCAGCCTTCTGAACCTCAGGCACAGGTATATGAAGACAGCGGCGCGCGCGGCTTGCTTGTTGGTTGGCCGGAGAAGAATAGCATCAGTCCCGTAGAAGTTAGAGTTCACCATGAGCGGGGAGCGACCGCGAAGATACACATACTCTTCCCACCAATCAGATACGTAATTGCTTGACCACCTGTTCACAAAAAATCACATCTCTAACAAACAAGTTATTTACTGGACAATTGAATTCCATAAATTATTCATTTGATACATATTTAGCACAGTAATATAATGGATGCAAAAACAACAATAAAATAGTATGTATTACCATGACTTAAGAACGAGGTATCTTTGAAGTTTGACCGCGATTGTCTCCTCGAACTCTTTTGCTAATCTTTCTACTCGTTTATAATTTTCATCATCTAACAGAGGCCGAACGCTAATCAGATACTGAAAAGGAAGAATGAAGAAGCATTGTTTGAAGTAAATCAGGGTTGATGCGGTTGAGTAACATAAATCATAAAAAGCGATAATATTCAAGCAATGATAAAATTATGCGGACTATAAAATAGTTATTTACCCGTCGCATAGTATCCTTGACTGCAGGCAAAGGCAACCTTGGCAGTGACCCTTGGAAACTATAAAGCTTGGGTTTATTCCATCCAGACAACACTTTTACTACACTGACCCAAAGCTTTGATTTCAAAGATATTCTAGCACCAGGAGCACGAGACTCGTACATCCAACCCTAGAAAACAAAACATATTCATTGGTAGGGTTAAACCGGAGTTTGATTAAAATATGAAAATAAATAAGAAGTCAAAACTTACTTTGTACATTAGCAGTAGTTTCAGTAAGTATCTCATAAGGAAGATTACGGATAGCCACATCGATAGCGCTGCCAATAAGCAAGCTATCACTTGCCACATTGCTGAGTGCCTAGAAGAAATATGTAGGTATAACTTATGTAATTAGTTAATGTTTATTATTAATATTTGGTAAATACTACTTGAAGTCTACACTGTATTGACTATCTCTATCCTAAAAAATCGTTAAATTAAGTAAAATATGCACTTACCCCGGTAAGACAGTCAAAGTTTTTTGTACAAGTCCAAAAGGTATGTTGAATCCTCCAAAATGGGCAGCCACAAGCAATGTCCAAAGGACGTAAAGAGATTGTAAATGCCCTGGGTATACTCCATTATGGACACTATTCTATAAAAAAATATATATGGTTTTAGTTATTGATTGTATAATTTAAATGGCAATGCCAGATTTTGTATGGAAAGTGGCGTCTTTTTTTTTTCGCGCGGCCATCGACCAAACTTTGTTTTTTGATTACAAAATAGTGTAATAAACCAAACTTACTATGCATGTATACCTCTAAACGCAGTCTGAACTGAGTTACGAGCATTAGAAGTTTGATGATTTTCATACTAGATTTGCTTTTTGTGCGCAAGTTTTGTAAGAAATTGCAACAAAATATTGCGCTATTTTTTTGTTGCGCTGATTCTGCTCCATACTGATGTCTGGAGCCTTTAATGGATGGTACTGTTTGTTTATACATACAATCTCACTATTTTGTTGCAATTTCTTACAAAACTTTGCGCGCAATAAGCAAATCTAGTATGAAAATCATTAAACTTCTAATGCTCGTAACTTCAGACTGAGTTTAGAGGTATACATGTCATAGTAAGTTTGGTTTATTATACTATTTTGTAATCAAAAAACAAAGTTTGGTCGATGGCCGCGCGAAAAAAAAAAGACGCCAATTTCCGGCATTGTCTTTTATGAATAAATCTCTTTTGTTTGTAAAATAACTTTTGATATGCCCACCCTAAATCTAGCTAGCCTCTTCTTCCAAGATCTTAGACCTGATTCCCAGACCAAGTACAGTACTTCTCGGTCAAAGTTAACATCCCAGCCATCGTGAGTGATAGCAAAGGAAAATGCTACCGCTGAGTGGGCTTCCGCCATGATGGGTCAGAACCTGTAAAAATAAAATAATTTTTGCTACATTTTCGAATAAGAAACCTCATTCCGTCATAAGCCTTATTTATATTTAAGTAGGTACAATAGTGCAAACAGGAAATGATTTAGTGATTTTATCATAATCATTGGTTCCTGATATTTTGGGTAGCTTTAAATGTGAAATTTAATACATAATATTGTTTTTGGTGATTGTTTTGATTAAGTGCAGTCGCTTTGCTAATAGCCATGTAGTAATTTAAAGTGGATAAGATAGGTATATCAGAAAATATTAGCTGTTATGGTTTACCACTTACAATATTATTTTCAGGAAAATAATAAATGGATATGGAAATAATGTATAAAAATTTTAATTGGCAGCAGGTTGAAGTTCTAAAACATAATAATAATATAATAGAATTGTCTAATTGGTTAGGTTTAATTTAAATTTAAAAGAAGGTAGGTAATCAAAAGGAACTCATGAAAATGTGAAACAATCAAATAAATAAAAGGTAAATAAATCAAAAAAAGGAATGTTAACTAGTAGTGACATACTATTCTTTTGTTTTTGTATATTTTCTATACAAAATGAAAATTCAATGTGTTAATTATATGATAAACAAGTATCCCGAAATAAATTGCTCATCAAGCTTCACTTCAATACTGCGTCCAATAAATATTTTTTAATTTAATTATTATTTGGAAGTACGAAATTACAAATGAATGTACACACACAGGTTATAAAAATACGTTCGCTACAGCACACGCACGCACACAACTCAAGCTCGGTGTCAAAGTCTAATCTGAGAAACGTTACCACATTTACGTAAATGCGGAGGAGTTGTAATAGAATACAACTATTTTGTAAAAAGATAATTAAATTACGAGATATTAGAGCAATTAGTATTAATACTAAAAAGAAATTAAGTATACCTTCAAATCGCCAAGGCCAGTCCATACCAATAGAAACTATACATATTTTATTCTAATTGAAATGAATAATTGTAAACTCTACGTACCGTAAATTCAACACTGTTGATTGGAAGAGCACCAATAAATTATAACAATATTTTCTGTACTTGAAACGCAGGTGAAGGTACTCTAAAAAGTACCTTAGTGGTTATTTATTTACACATCTTCTCTCATCATCATTACTTGTCTATATGTTTTTTAACTAATTAATAATATAATTGTACACTAAATACTTCAAAAAATAACTTTCGGGAGTAAAATACTATTACGCACAATAAAGAGTTTATAAAAAATACATTCACACAACGTGAATGCGTGTAATGCGTACGAAAAATACAAGGAGAACACAAATTTTCGACGCACACACACGTTTACACCACAGAGGAAAAAGGAGGAATTTTACTACTACACATACACGAACGAGACACGAAGACTACACGAACACGAGAATACAATTCAGCGGTACCAACATAAAGAAGATGATGGCACTTTGTAGAGTTGTTTGTACGAGAAGTTGTAGTAATATCACTGTGATTTAGTAAGTTATTTTATATTGTTAAAATTACTCACTTCAATATAATCTCTTCAGAAATTAGTTCGTTTACGGATCTCCTCATTTCTGATTCGATCTCGTAAAGAAACAGCGAGCATAGCCCTCTCCATAGCACGCTGTGCAACTTTGAGCTCATATATACCAGTTACTCTATGACTTTGAGCTTCTGTGTAAAGTGGCCCCGTGACGATCAATAATTTGCGATTGTCAATTATTGACATTGATCGTTTACGAAGCCATTGTCAATTGCATTTACGTGATTGAAGCAAATTGATGAAAATTTTAATTGAAGCCCAATTGACAGGGCCATTGAAGCTAATATTGATCGTTTCGCTGAGCAATTGACAAAGTTTCCGTCAATTGGAACGTAAATACATTGACAATCGCAATGAGGGCTATCGTTTTAGCGCTCACCAGTTAGCGCCACTGTAGAGTAAGGTCCTGTCACTTGCTAGTAGCGAAGACAGTGGCACTAACTGGTGAGCGCGAAAGTGGTAGGAGGACTATCGTATTTGCACTCATCAAGATGGCGCCACTGTAGAGTAAGGTCCTGTCAATCGCCAGGGGTGCCAACTGTTAAGTATAAAAACGATAGCCCTCATTGATCGTCTCGGGGCCACTTAAGGCCTATAGTGAAAGGCCACATTTCCGAAGTTAAATTTATCTTTTACATGATAATAATACCCAAGAAATCATTTTTTCATTTCAAATAATTATTATAAGTTTATTTTAGATTCTCTAAGAGTTTTTTAGATTGATTAACTACCTCGAAAATAATTGTTATCTTCATCCAGAAACATTAGTTTGAAACATTCTAAACAAATGAATATCACGTAATATAAACGTTGTTTTAATAACCGTGCATTGAGCCCATGAAGCTAAAGATAAAAATGGAGGCCAGACTTAGAATACCTACTTGAAGCACAACCTATGTATCACTATCTCGCTCTCTGTGGGCAGGCTCTCTCTTTCTAAGTAGGGTAACCTTTTATTTATTTTTCTCAGGACGACAAAGACTGATTTACGTTTAAACAGTGTGTCTTGATAAAGTGCACTTAATATGATTATGAAAAAAGGTTTTCGATGTTTTTGTTTTAAGATGAATTACAACATTAAGAAAGTGTAAAGGCATCGAAAACTGTGGATATTTGATAGAAAACAGATTTTAATTTGGCAGTTGACAGACGGATTTGGATATGGATTGATTACAGTAAACGGCCGTAGAAAACATTATGCAAAATTAGATAAGTAAGGTCCCACAGAAAGTTTGAAAAATCTCAAACGAAATCAACTGCATAGTAAACAACCGCCATGATGGGCCGGATTCGGCCGATGTTGCCACATTACCGATACCTCAGAAATTGGGATTGTAATTCCCTGATTCGCCAACACATTAAGCCTAAATGGCCGACAATTTTGTGATTTTTTATTTAACTAGGTAATCTAAGTTTCAAATATTAATTATTTATTTATTTAACTTCTTATTTGGTTAGTGAATTGGCTATTTCGAAGAATTTACAAGGAGATTTAAATAAGAAGATAGCAATACTACAGTTCACACTAAAAAGAGAGGTAGGGCCACAGAGAGCGAGATAGATATAAGTAGGTATTTGACTCAAGTTTTGTTCCCAACTTTGCCCTCCATTTTTATCTGTAGCTTCATGATTGAGCCACATTTTGAGCTATGTAGCCGTGACTCTATTTGTGTGTGCCTGCCTCACTCACTGTCACTGACTCGGCCTGCATAATCTGTGGCATTTCAAGACTCCGACAGAGCGACAGAGTGATTCTTTATTTTTGTTATTGTTTGATATAAAATTTATCGATTTAAAAAGAAACAGAAGAAAGCAAGAAAAACTAAATATATAATTCCAGAAAAGTATGTTTAAAAAGTTGGGTTAAAGGATTTCTGTGTTAATTTTAGCGTCAATTCCTGATAGAACGCAAAAATGTTTACTCGCTATTTGCCCAAGTCTAAAAACAAGTTATTTGCTTTATTTATGTTTATAACGCTTACGGTTAGTGCTTTGTATCTTTATTTGAACAATTTGCAAGAGAAAAGTACTGTTCAATCTTCGGGAGAGAGATGTTTAACTGAATTATCGTCTCTGAAATATCAGTTGAATGGTAAGTGAAAAAAATTTCTCCTCATCTTAGCCCACATTAAATTAATTTTATATTTTTATGATAATTTTGGTCACAACTTACAAGTAAATTGAAATTTATTAAAACGAATTTTAACCACTTTATCTTGTGTTCACAGAGGTGACCCAGTATAAAGATCGTATAGACAAATTGTTAACAGAGACACAAAAAGCTCATGAATTAGACAAGGAACGGTTTAAGGACATTATGGAAAGTTGTGTTGCCATGAAACAACAGTCTACAATATGTCAGGTAATTAATTCGGTTTTTAAAACATTCTCATGAGTACTTCATAAATTAATGTCTTTTTTTTCTAACAGCTCTTTAGATCTTTTCTTCTATGCATTTATAGAAGACCTACTTAGATGGTTGCAGATAAAAAATATAATTATTCATTTGTTAGTCAGAACATGAGGAGGAGATGTAATCTAGTCATTCTCTATGTAGAATCTGTTTATAAAAACTGCTTGGCTATTCCTGGCTGTCAATAAATAAATAAATATTAAATGAAATTCCTGTTTTCAGAGTCAATTTGAAGATCTCCAAAGTGAGTGTAAAAAGGTTCGGGATGACTACAACAAATTGAAGAAAAGTTTAAATATATGAATCGCAACTGGTGAAGTAATGAAAATGATTTTAAAATAAGAAATTACACTTTACAACTTCTATATTTTGAATATTGTGTTACATGTATAACTAGTCATATATTAAATTTTTTATTTTTATGTATTATTAAACAATATATTTTATTATATTGTACTACAATTAAATAACAAAGAAATTAGACCTTCAACTCGTATGTTAACATACTATTTATTTAGGTAGATTTTTAAATAGTGATATATTTATTCTATCAATTGTTTCATATGATTACTTCAACTATTTTATTGATGTCTGTATCGGAAAAATTGAGATGTAATTAATTTAAAAAATACTGACTAAGTATATTCATAGATGGTGAAAGTCAGGTTGGCAAACATTTAAACAATAGATTACTGATAATTACTGAACCAACGGCAGGCATTTCCTCTTGTAATAAATGAATGTCTTTTTATCAACAATATTTTTGATTGATGCATTTTATACAAATACATTTTATAGCTTTACACCGCAAGGGGAAATTAAATGCCAAAATGGCACTATGGGAACATTATCTAGGTACTTAAATTTGAGGAGAGAAAAAAAGACTTATGATCTTGGATTCGAGATGGTTATTTCAGTTTATTATTTACAAAATTTTGCCGACTTGTCCTTCACCTTCTGTAATGTTATATTTCATGTAGATATAGTAGTTCAGATGTAAATAGTGTTTGTAGGTTGTAGCTACATTTAGAAGCCAGCAGGCTGAAAAACAAGCTATTGGAAATTATTATGTATTTTATTGTAATTTATTTTCATCATTAACAGTTTGTATGCATTTAAATCCCACTTGTAAAACATCAAAAACCTTACTGAGTAGCAAGTGCAGAAAGGTTGAATTACATGTTACATGTTTTTTAATGATATAACTTGTACGTTAAAAATTGAGTATAAAATAATAATATTTCTGTCACACTCGCCATCCAAGAAATTTAAATTTAAATACCTACCTGACTCTGTTTTGCTCGTAAAAACTAGATTGAAATAGTTCTATCTACCTACATAGTTAATACATATTATAGTAACTCTACATTGTCTATGAAGTGTAATCTTTTACTAACATTTATAAAAATATGAAAGCATAGAAAATTGATGTCCTTAACAAAAATTTTAAATACATAT